CCAGGACCCCGGGATCATGACCTGAGCCGAAGGCAGATGCTTAACTGACTGAGCTCCCCAGGTGCACCCTAAATCTGCTTTTTCAAACCTCCCTATTTATTACCTTCCTCTTCTCCACCCCCCCCCTTCCTTCAGGAAACTTCCTTTCCCTTCTTCCTGCTAGTGGCTGAGCTTGATGATACAAAGTTACCTACCTCCTATCTTTAAAAAAAAAACCAAAAAATTGAGGTGAAATTCATATAGAATTAACCGTTTTGAAGAGCACAGTCGGGTGACATTTAGTACATTCACGGTGTTGTGCGACCACCACCTCTATGTAGTTCCAAACATTTCCATTACCCAAAAGGAAACACCGTAGCCATTAGCAATCACTCCCCTTTCCCTCTCCCCTGGCCCCTGGCGACTTCCTGTTTCTCTGGATATTTCATATAAATGAAATCATACGTATGTGCTTCTGTGTCTGGCTTCTTTCATGTAGCATAATGTTTTTGAGGTTCATCCACGTTGTAGCAGGTGCCAGAATTTTGTTCCTTTTTATGGCTGAATAGTATTCCATTGCATGGATATAGAGCATGTTGTTTATCCATTTATTTGTTTATGGAAATTAGGTTGTCCTCCCCCTTGGCTATTGTGCATAGAGCTGCTGTGGCGCCGATTGTCTTTTATGGAAGCTCTGCTCCCTGTTGGGTTCAGGGTCTGTGACTTCTGGTGTCCCCTGAGTCCCAGCCACAAGCAGGCTCACTTACAACCCTCTTATCGATGGGTCTGCTGAAGCCGGGAGGGAGAAGTCTGGAGCCTCAGAAGAGAAGGGAACACACCTTGGGATCTGAGGTTCGGCTGCCACTGGGCTTGGCTCTGCATGCTAAATCTAGTTTAACTTCTGCCAAGGGGGAGCGAGGTAGAGAGTCGAAATTGCTGGTTTTATCTCCAGCCTCAAGCATCTGTTTTCATCTCTCCTTCCTGTGCCTGGGGCAAGTGACCCTAGCCAGGAAACTCAGCTGTGTGACGCCGGGCTGTGTACTCTGAGCCCCAGCGTCCCTATCTGTAAAGTGGGGATTATAATTCCTATTTTATAGGGTTGTTGTGACGATTAAGTAAAATGGGAGGTTGACTTCTTTTCCTATCAGGATTTGGGGCGGCCGGGTTCAGGAGCAGTTGTGGAAGGGCACTTGGATGCAGGCTGATTTCTGTGGATGCCTTGTGGACTGGCAACCACCAGGGCCATTCTGGATCCTCTCAGAAGGGGAAGGAGCTGAGGTTACTCTCGTCATTATGTTTAGCTGTCACTGCTGGGAAGATGTCCCCAGCTTCCTTTTTTTCTGCAGTCAACTTTGGTGCTTGGTGTATGAATCTGTGGAAGTGGGTTGCCTCCCATTTCACCTCCTACAAGTAGACTTTGAGCTTATTTTAGAAAGATGAGTTTTCTCTTGATTGTATTCTTTAAAAAAGTATTTACAAATTTCCCCCATGCTGGGTGTCTTGTGGGGTATTGTTTCCAAGGGTCTTTTTTTTCCCCCGCCCTGTGGTCAGTGGAAGACTTTGGGGGTCTTGGCAGACCTGGGCTTGCATCCTGGTTTTACTTCTCCCTGATCAGCTCTGTGACCCTGGATCGCAGATCAGTGGCCTTTCACGTTCTTCATCTGTAAAAATGAGGGTTAATGTGAAAATTAGTTACCTTGCTTTGTAGTTATTATGTCAACTAGTGTCCTTTTGGTTTTAAATATTAGACAACCCAACTAAAAGTAGTTAAATAATGAGGGGTATTGCATCTCCCCAGGCAAGAAGTCTGGTGGTAAGACAAATGTAGGAATGGGCTGATTTAGTAGCACAAGGATCTGGTGTTTCCCCCTTTTCTCCCCATCAACCATTCTCAGCAGGTAGGTGATTTCTCACCTCCTTGTCACACAGAGGCTGCAGCAGCTCCAGACATTATGGGCAGATCTGATGAAGTCCAGCAAACCAGGAAATTCTTTTTCTTAGTGAGGAACCTTTTTCCCCTGGAGTCCCCTTGTGGACTTCTCTTTGGTCCCTTTGTCCCATGTCTTAGTCTGAGGTTTTTATGGTCCCCCAGGTCCTGAGGAAAGGATTACAGTGTTGAGGTTTTATTTGGGGAAGTCAGGGCCAGTGAGATCAAGATGAGTGAAAAGAAGGGGGAGGGAGGCCAGGAGAGGCTGAAGCTGCATGGTGCCATGTGCGCTTTGCTCTGGCTGTCATTTCACGCCGAGCCATGGAGAGACCCAGCTGCTGTGTTCGCCTGGCACCTGTGGGAGGGCTGCCAGGAGAAACCGTAACCCCAATTTGTCAAGAACACTCTTACTTTGCTTGCTGGAGTTTTTGGAAGGTAGAGGGAGGAAAGATGACATGGATAGCTTTTGAAATTGATTTCTGAACCTTCCTGAAGTCCTAGTATATTTCTCACCAGTGGCTTTATATGGGGAGGCAGGGTAGCTAGCGATTAGGGATGTGGACCCTGGAGTCAGGCTGCCTGGGTTCAAGTCCAGACGCTGCAGCTCAACAGTCTCCACAAGGGACCTGTTCCTACATTCAGGGTTGTTTGGAGCTTTAAGTGAGTTAATATCTGAAAGCACTTGGAACGGTGCCTGGCAGAGTCAGGCTCTGTGCATATTGATAGTGACCCTTGCCCTTTCACCTCTAGAACTCAGAGCTTTTTGACATGTTGTCGCATGTAATAATGGTCATCAGCCAATGTTTACTGAGTCTAGGGCTGTACAGGACCCAGCTCGAAATGCACAGGCACTCTTTGCCTTGGTGTATGCCCTCCTCTGACATCCCTCTGCGAATGGTACCTACCCCGGGGATACCTTCCGTCTGTCCTCCTGTGGTTTGGTTCGCCTGCCTCCCCCTCCTTCAGCCGTGAGCCCCGCCCAGCACAAGGGCTGTCTGCCTCAGCTCTGGGGCTTTCGCTGCTGGGCACATACAGGCACTCGAGACTTGCTTGTTCAGAGTTGTCAGCGCTTTCTGCTCCACCTTCAGTTGCTTATTTATAGACACGTCTTAGTTCCCTTACTTTCCTAAAAACAGTTTGAGGACAGGTCTGGATCGTCCATGTTTGTAGGCGATATTTGGGTGCATCGTTGACCAAATGGATTCCAGTTCAGGATCTAACACATAGAGCTGTATATGAAGAGAGAATAACATCGCAAGGGGCTAGGATGGACCAGTCTAGAGTCATGAGGTTGGATAGTTTATGTTTTCCAACTGCTGGGCAGGGAGGGGGAAAAAAAAAGGGCTTGCTGCCATGTGCTAACTTGTCTAGCAACCTGGTCCTCGTCTTTCTCTCTCCTGTGGTCCATCAGGGACTAGTGGATTGATGCCTGGCATAGATGGACGGCAGGTGCTGGATGCAGGAAGATGAGCTGGAAGAGCACGGGCTTGAGGGTAGAGTGGGGGGTGGGAATGGAAAGGGTGTGTGGGGGTGAGGGGTCGGTAGGAAAGGAGAATCAACAGGACGTGGGTCCTGAGACTTGTAGGGGGTGAAGAATGAGAAGGAATGCTCAGATTCCTTTGGGAACTGGTGTCTGGGCCCTTGGGAAACAGGCTGGGGAGCAGACCTTTCGGTCTGTCTAACCCTTGAGATGAACATGGATGTTGTCTTCGCCTTCTCCATTTGGTAAGCACAAAGGATATTTCCTTTGGGTTGGGGTGGGTTGGGTACTCAGCCTCCTGGACCCGACCGGCCTTGGCCTTAGCCTTGCTATAGGACCTTAGGCAAATCTCCTTCCTCTGGGACTTAGGAATTGCTTCCTTTCCAAAATGAGAGGCTCATTCCTTTCTTGAGTGTCATTTATAGAGTGCCTACTCTGCACCATTCTAGGTGCAGGCCCAGATGAGGTTTCTGTTCTCATGGAGCATACATTTTAGTTGAAGGAGGCTGATGACGACTGAGGTGAATGCAGAGGAGAAAAGAGCCAGGGGTGCTCAGTTCCACTGGTTGATTGGAGAAGTACGCCCCGAAGAGGTGGCATTTTAGGCCACGACACTGGAAGGTCTGGGGCAGAGTGTTTTTGGAGAAAGGAATCAATATGTAAAGGCTATAAGAGAGAACCAGCTTCAGGAACATTTCAAAGGGCATGCTGAGATCACCGGGGGACATGGAGGCTGTGGTTAAGAGTTTCGGATTTTATTCTAAGTGTGATGGGAAGCTGGAGGACATTTTTTCCCACTAGAATCCCTTTTGATTATTTTCCTCTTCATGAGGGCCATACTTCGAAAGATCCCATTAACCAAAAAAGGTGTGTTTATTAAACAGTAGGATGTACAACCTCAAATTATTTTAGGTTTTTAAAGTATGGGGTAGTAATTTATGAATCACGATGAGTATCTTTGAGGTCCTTCCAGGGACCTAAAGATGGCAGACTGAGACACTCAACTAAATAAATAATCTTTAGGGTTGCTCTGTTTCAAACACTCGTGCTTCCCAAAGCTGCATGTCATACAATTAAAAAAAAAAAAAAAAAATTACTGCCACCTACCGATAGAAGGAGGAAGCTGGATTTTTGCACAACAAAAATCCCGAACCCAGGAGATTTCTTCTCTTGTGCACCTGGCTTTACTTTCTGTACTTGTGACCTGAAAATGCCTCTGGGGAAGCAGTGTCACGGTCCTCTTTTTTTTTTTTTTTTTCCCCTGCCCTAGAGAATCTTGACTGTTTCTACGTCCTTCTGCCTCAATTAATGATGCGGTGGCAGCAGGGAGAGCTGCCCTGGAGAGCTGCTTCAGTGCTGGGTGTATCTGTGGGGAAGAACACTGGGTAGCTCAGCCTCCATATGCCGAGTTAATCCATTGTTTGTAAGCCACCTCTGGTTTCACTGAGTTCCCTTACTCAGTGTCCTTGCACCCTAGTCCCTGCCAGTGGGCCTTTTTTAATGTACTCGTTAGCACCCGATCCCCATTATTAAATTCTCAACTGCTTTATTCCTGATTTGCATTTTCCGTGGCCGAATGAAGGCGCTGACTTCCGTTTTCTTTTTCTGTTACAGATGGTGTGCGCAGGTGACTGTAAGTACCGCTCCCCTCTCTTCTCTTGTGTTGTTCGCTACCGCCCCCTGATGGACACAGCAGCACTTACAGCAACGTGAAAATCACAGAAAATGCTAATTTGTTCAAACTCTCTTAGTTTCCAGTTTTTCTTTAGAACTGGGGTGAGTGTGGCACCAGCAAGTGAAAGAAAGAATTCAATCAATTGAGCAACTTTGACAAATAAAAATTTTATATTTTCTGTGATTTTTTTTTCCCCCGCCAGCCTACATCCGTGGGTGATTTTTAAAAAAGACTTAGTTTTCATAATGCAGTATGATTTATATTTATTTTATGTGCTGCCATCCCATAAGTATTTTTTTGGGTTGCTACATTGCTCCATGATTTTTAAAGTGGTGGACAGGGTTTGTGTAACCTTTGGAAAACCAGATGTAGCCTCCTGTATATTTTGCTTCTATATGGAGGGCTGAGTCCCATTTGCTAACTGGTGTTGGTCCATTGAAGTTCTCCCTGGTCTAGAGTAAAATGAAAAAAATAAGGCTATGATAGTAAGTTTTAAGTGAAGCTAAATATATTTAATTGAAAGCACCATTTATTCTGGGATGATGTCCTTACTAATTTTTTGGGTCATAATTTGTTTCTATAGGAAATAAAGATAACAGTGTTCGGTAGTTTTTTTTTTTTTTTTTAATGTACCTTTTAGAATAAATAAAAATTGGTAGCTTTTATCTGTCCTCAAAATTTGGGAACCTTTTTTTTTTTTCCTGATTGGTAAAATCCCAAAGTCTGTGAACCATGGAGATAAAATAATTAGAATGTTCTTCCACTACCACACAAAGGGGGCAGATCTTGCCGAAACCTTCTAATAAAGCTGATCTCAGTTAATAACGGTGATTATGCAAAGTCTGTACAAACAATGGGAAGAACTCTACAGTTGCTTTTTCTTTCTTGTTAATCAGTTTGGTAAATAAGCTGGTAGGTACCTTGTACGGGCTTGAATCGTTGGTGCCAAAGAAGAAAACCTCTATGCATAGAGGGTGGTATTTTAAAGCAGGAGAAGGGGAGATGAAGAACTATGACTCGTTTTAAAAATCGTAATAAAAACCTGTTGTATCGTGAGTGGGAGGTGCCATTTTGTTAGTTTGCGTGACCACTGTTTCTGGCTACTTAAATCGGTCACACTTATCCCTGAAAAGTTTCCTGGTGCCTTACTGAGATGAATGTCAGGGGCTCTAGATGTGACTGTTACAGATCACAGCTGAAGCCTCGGACACGGGAAAGAAAAATGAAACACAAACTAAGAAGTCTGTGAACCATAGCAATAGAATAATGGGAATGTTCTCCTAGGACTTTGAGTAAAATCACATGCTAACGACCAGCAGGATGGGACTCTGAACTCCGATTTTATAAATGTCCAAATCCAGTGACGTTGGTTACCATATCATGGTACCTTAAAAATAGCCCTTTATGTTTAAAATAGTGTATTAGAGCTGACAACATAGGAACCTGAGGATGAGAGGTTCTAAGGGACTCATTCCAGGTCATATAGCTAAGGGGCAGAGGAGATCCTCGCGTCCAGGTCTGAATTTAAAGACCAGCTCCTTTCACTTTATGCCATTCTGTCTCATGCCATCTTAGTGCCCGAATATGGCGGAACGTCCTCCTAATATCAGGATTTGGCAAAAAAGTTAGCTTCTGCATCATGTAAGACCTCTCCATGGGCAGTGTTTTCTAAGAATGAAAAGAGAGACTTTTTTTTACATCTTAGGTCTTTTTTTGGTATCAGCTTCTATATAGATTTAATCCATATTCAAGTCACAGCCAACATTGCTGATCTCTGTCATTTTTGTCTCTGTTTTAAAGCCTTCTGTCTCACTAACACACATGCATACATGTATGTATATGTATCTAAAATTAGTTTGTTGGAGGAAAGTCCAGGAGGCAGAGAAAGGGAAATGAAATTCTGTGATCGTACAATTCACTTCTGAAAAGTAGACATGCAGAGCAGTCCTGACTCTTACATTTCCTTTTTTAAAAAATATTTTATTTATTTGAGAGAGAGAGAGAGAGAGAGAGAGAGAGAGCACATGGGGGGGAGGGGCAGAAGGAGAGGGATAAGCAGATTCCCCACTGAGTGGGGAGCCCAACACAAAGCTGGATCCCAAGACTTTGGGATCATGACCTGAGCCTAAGGCAGACGCTTAACTGACTGAGCCACCCAGGCGCCCCTTACATTTCTTTTTTAAATGTAACTTTTGATGTCCTTTGGGAAACAATATTTAAGTAGAACCCATGTTTGTGTTTGACATTGAAGCTGTTTCCATCAATACAACCAGTGTGACCACAACATGGGAAAACACGGGCAGCACTGTTTCTGAGTATGCACGTACAGAAAGGAGCAAGGTGGAGAGTAGGTGGACCACCACTGATGAAAATCCAGCAAGGAATGGCACCACAGGCTTTAGTCCAACAACTTCATACACGTCCTTTGTCACTTCAGAAATAGTCACTACGACTTCGAGAGATCCCACAGCTGGAAATGACACAACAGGTAAGGTGAGCCCCCAGGAATGATCGTGAACCGTTCCTTTTCATCCTGTATCCTAGAGCCTTGTCCATTCAGATTGCCTGTTGGGGAGAGATTGGTTTTTGTTAATGGTGGAAGAGGAGAAAAGATTGTGTATTGTTTCAAGTCCGGGAGTTCAGGTGGCCAGATTATTTGGTATTAGGGTCCTAGGTGTTTGGGGAGGTTTTAAGTAGTTCCAACTGTCCAGCTTTAAAAATCCTTTGCTATTATTGGCTAATATTTACTCTTCTGCTGAGGCTTGGGAACAGAGACCTCATTAGACACGTGTCGTAATGGTGTCAGTTATTGTAGGCTTCTTTTAAGCTCTGCAGGAGAGTTGATGCTGTGTTTATATTCTCAGGAGTTTTTGCTGGACCCGAAAGTTCGGTATACTTTACAGAGGAGTGCATGTTTCAAATGAAATAATAGCCCTGTGACATTGGGTAAGGTTTAGATTTTTATTTAGCTTAGATGTCAGTACCCTGAGCCACGTGTTACTGCTACAAATTTAGCTCTCTCTCTTTTTTTAAGCTGAAAAGAACCAAAAATATAAAAAAGAGACGAGAAGCTCTTTTAAAGCTGAGAAGAACCAAAAAATTTAAAAATGCTATCCCCTGTTGGTTTTCTGATCTGGGGATGTCATCTCTTTGGCTGGTGAGGGCCATGGACGTTTGACCTCTTGGGGCCCATGGCTTGAAGTGACCACCCGCCTAGCACAGTGCCTTCTACACATGGAACAGGCAAACGAAACCGGTGGTTTTCAGCAGGTTTTTTTTTTAAGCCAGGAAACAATTTCTTTAAATAATAAAATCTCGCCCAGAAGCCCAATATGTAAAAAGAACTGGCGTGAGAGGAGCTACAGGGATGGGGTGTCACAGGTACTCCAAAAAAAAAACCACAAAAATCTCTCGGAGCTCCTCAGAGCAGAGTTTTAGAGGCAAAAAGCCCTGTGATAGAGGTTTGCTATATTATGAAAGAGAGAAGATCAGGAGGAGAGGGCAGGGAGATGAAGAGAACGAACGAGGAAGAAGAAGATGGAATTTAGAAATGGTGATGGGGCCAGCGGAACACAGCACTGGTGACCGTAGGAAAGAGGAGGTGGAGAAGTGGCGAGGAGCAGCCAGCCCAGGAACTGAGTATCCTCACTCTGCCTGAAAGTTCCCGGGACAAGGCTTTGTTCATCAGCTCCTATTTACTGAGCACGTACTCTTTTTTTTTTTTTTTTAATTTTATTTATTTATTTGACAGAGAGAGACACAGCGAGAGAGGGAACACAAGCAGGGGGAGTGGGAGAGGGAGAAGCAGGCCTCCTGCGGAGCAGGGAGCCCGATGCGGGGCTCGATCCCAGGACCCTGGGATCATGACCTGAGCCGAAGGCAGACGCTTAACAACTGAGCCACCCAGGCGCCCCATGAGCACGTACTCTTATGCTTAGTTGTTCTTAATACATTATCCTGTCCTCTCAGTAACCCCAAGGGCCACAGTGACAAACTGTAATGCCGAGGAGTTGGGTTTTGTCTGAGGGCTCGGTTATTGAGCACAAAGTGGCGGGCACCCAGGGAGCTCGGCTCCAGAGCACCCTGGTGCCCTGAAGCTGGTACCAGTTAGTTACCCAGAGCCCTTCTGCTGGCCTCCTGGATGGCTGTTGCATTTCTTTTCAAAAGAAAAAGGACACAGGAGTGACCCCATTTAGCAATCTTTGCACCCAAAATGTTTGATGTGAAGGGTAGAATCACAGAGTGCATTGGCTCGCTGCAGAACCCGCCATGCCTTCCAGTTCCGCCCCTGCAGACCTCAGGCAGGGGTTTGCGCTATCCGCAACACTGCCCATGCCTCGTGTGCTCAGCCCTGGGTTCTGATGTCCCCGATGCCACCAGTGATGTGTGTTCCTGAGCCAGTCGCCCCGCCTCTCAGTGTTTCTACCTTGCCATCTCCCGAAGGAAGGGAGTAGATGTCATGTTGGCCCAAATGGCTGGTTTATGTCACAGCCAGCCAAGTAAGGTGATGGAAAGAATGGTGGGGGGATAGCTCGGAAGTCTTCTGAAGCACCCCTCTGGGCTTGGAACACAGGGATGAGCTCCTTAGTGAAATGTCTGGGTGCTCTGAGATGATACTATTTGTATTATCTTGAATCGAGACCTTTAGAAGTAGCAAACAGTCTCTTTGTTTGGGGCTTTGTTCCTTATGCCCCAAACAAATATGATTAAATGTTGCTGTTGGACAATTTTGAAGACCGTTTTGAAGAGTGTCAAATCACGTTGAAGTGAACTGTTGAGGAGAATACAACAGATCCTAAAAATCTTTGGCTGTAGGTGTATTCTTTTCTCTGTAATGCTATATCTACTTTTTCCTGCTGTGAAATGACAGACTTGCACTGGACCCTGATACCAAAAAAGTATTTTTAGTGAGTCACCTTGAAACATCGGTGACCCCAGTCATTCTTTTTTTTTTTCTTTAAGGTTTTATTTATTTATTTGACAGAGAAAGAGAGCAGAAGCAGGGGGAGCAGCAGAGGGGGAGGGATAAGCAGGCTTCCCACCGCCCCCAGCCGGGAGCCCGATGTGGGGCTCGATCCCAGGACCCTGGGATCATGACCGGAGCCAAAAGCAGACGCTTAACCGACTGAGCCACCCAGGTGCCCCGACCCCAGTCATTCTTAATGAAAGGTGACCGCAGATGTCTCGTTCCATCAATGCCCCATTGTGTGTTTTTAAAATAGAGCCGAGTCCGGTTTCTGGTCTTCGCGTTTCCTTCGTGGGGGTGACGCAAGCTACTCTTACCTGGAAGGAAGCGAACGGCACCGCCACCTGCCGGCTGCTCCTTGAAGGCATCGGGGGTCCTGAGGGGATGACTCAAGACCTGGTGGTCAATATATCGGGCCTGACACCAGGGACTCAACACAAGGTCACCCTGCCTCTTTCAGAACCAAATGAACAGAGCGAGTCCTCGGTCACAGACAGTGGCTTAGGTGAGTTACAGAAGTGTGCTTCTCATCTGCCTTGGTGGTTTTGACTTTCAGTAACTTAATAGTTTTAAGAAATGTCGTGCTTACATTTCTATAGAGTTTTAGAATTTATTTTATTTTTATTTTTTTATTTTTTATTTTTATTTTTATTTATTTTTTATGATTTTTTTTTTTAAAGATTTTATTTATTTATTTGAGAGAGAGAATGAGAGAGAGCGAGTACATGAGAGGGGGGAGGGTCAGAGGGAGAAGCAGACTCCCCGCTGAGCAGGGAGCCCGATGCGGGACTCGATCCCGGGACTCCAGGATCATGACCTGAGCCGAAGGCAGTCGCTTAACCAACTGAGCCACCCAGGCGCCCTTAATTGATTTTTTTAAAAAAGATTTTTCTTTCTTTTTTTTTTTTTAAAGATTTTATTTATTTATTTGAGAAAGAAAGAATGAGACAGAGAGAGCTTGAGAGGGGGGAGGGTCAGAGGGAGAAGCAGACTCCCGGCCGAGCAGGGAGCCCGATATGGGACTCGATCCTGTGACTCCAGGATCATGACCTGAGCCGAAGGCAGTCGCCTAACCAACTGAGCCACCCAGGCGCCCTATTTTTTTATTTTTTAAAGATTTTATTTATTTATTTGACAGAGAGAGACACAGCGAGAGAGAGAACACAAGCAGGGAGAGTGGGAGAGGGAGAAGCAGGCTTCCTGCAGAGCAGGGAGCCCCACGCGGGGCTCGATCCCAGGACCCTGGGACCATGACCTGAGCCGAAGGCAGACGCCCAACGACTGAGCCACCCAGGCGCCCCTAGAGTTTTAGAATTTATAGAGGGCTTTCCTCCACATTTTAGTTTGACCCTTTATTTGTATGAAGAAGGGAGGGGGAAATGTTCGTATTTTACCGGTCAGATCACTGGGGCTCAGAATGGTAATGGGGGTTGAAACTTTTTGAGTCTGGCATCCCGGAAAGGAGCTGGCCCCTTTAGCTCTTCAGACTTTCCGTTGAACGGATAACAGATGTGTTAACTCGGGTAGGGCCTTTGGAGGAACTTGCCATGTCCATTGAGTAAAGGGATGCTTAGCAAGCAAGTCTAGCAGACAGCTTCTGCATTGCCAATGGAGTGGCCATTTGCAGATTTTAAGCGTTTTCAGAGGTAAACCAGTGGATTGAGCAGAACAAGTACTTAATCCCCATTTTACACATAAGGAAACAGGACTACGAAGTGGGTGTTTAGGATTCTTGACTGCAAGTGACAGAAACCAGACTTTAAGTAGCTTGGGCTAGAAGAGCAAACTTGTTGGCCTGTGTCTGTTTTCCCATTGCGGGCAGCAAGGCCTTGAAGAAAGAGACAAGGGGATGCCCGTCTCCTCTTCCTGCTTCCTTCTGTGCCAGCCTTGTTCTCAGAGTGGCTCAGGGAGAAATGATTACCCGCCTGTAGGTGCCCCGTTTCACCCCCTATCGGAAGGGGTCTGGCCCAGGGGAGAAATGTCTAGAGTGGGCTCTGCTGAGCCGGGTTTGAGCCCTGTGGCTGTCCCTGGATGACCACGTTGGGAGCTGGGTGGGAGAAGATTTCCTGAAAGAAGGGGAGGAGCTACAAACAGCTGAGTTGGAAAGAGAGGGTACCTGGATAAAAGTAGAAAGTAAAATATCTGCCAAAAATTGGGGCCTTTGTAGGCAGATATATCTCTCTCAGGGGAAGGAAGGGAAGGATTTGTGGAGTACGCGCTGTGGGCTCTGCCTGATGTGTCCTCTTGTGGGGGAGGTGCTGCAGGGGGACAGGGCTGGGCTTCTGTTGCAGGAAATGTATTTTGACTTTTGTGTTTGAAACAGATGTCAACAACACAGAGAGCTCCTCCCAGCAGCCCCGGACCCCCACTGCCGGGGTGTATGAATACCACCTCGATCCCAAAAACCTGTCTTCTCACCAGCCTCTGGCCCAAGACACGGAAGTCCTACTGTTCGGGTTGAAGTCCAACACGCAGTACAAGGCCACTGTTTATTCTCAAGCGGCAGATGGCACAGAAGGACAGCCCCAAAACATAACTTTCAGGACAGGTATATCTAACACAAAGTTTTGTCGTCTGTGATTCTGGTTCTCCGTTCTCTCTCGCCTCGCAAGCAGTTTTGTTGTTGGAGGGAATTTTCTGGAAGGGGTTTTGGACAGAGCAGATCCAGTGAGTTTCTTCTTCACTCTGCAGCCAAGACGCTTCGTTCTTTCAGCTCAGTAAAGCGTGTTGAGCAGCTGCTATGTGTGGATGCCAGGGGCTACCTCTTGTCCTTTGAGTCTTTGCACGTGAACCAGTGAGACAAACTGGTGTTGTAGTTTTCACTCATTAATAGATATTCATGTTGTCATTGTTGGTTAATTATTTTCCCCTTCCAATAAGAAAATAAGTTTTTTATTTTTCTGGCCCAGCCTTGGAATGCATACTGATCTCTCTGTTGAAGCGTGTTGACATGCACGTTGCTGCTTCCTACCTAGAATTTAGTGGTACTTCCACTCTGTATATTGACCAGTATTTGGAGGTGTTTTGGATTGGTGCTGATGGGGGAGCGAAGAAATGTATGGTTGCTCCCTGACAGGGTTTGGGTATAGATGGGGAATTGAGAGAGATGCACACGCTTTGAGAGGCCTGTGGTCAGGCCCCCGTGGGCTCAGGAAAAAATGCACCAGCGTCACCCTCAGGGACTTGGCTGAGGCAACATGAACTAACTCTGGCTACCTGATCCAAAAATATATCTGTTCTCAAAGGCTGCTAGAGACCCATAGAATGGAGGGGTAGGGGCAGGGGGTGGGGGATACAGGGCAAAAAAATAAGACTACTCTCCAGGAAACTCTGGAAGGCTGGGTCACACTGGACCATCAGCAGTAAAGTCCCACGATGGAGAGGGTGTCACATTGCTGCTTTCTGGATGGCTGTGTTGGGGAAGGGAGTGCTGTCCCCCAGCTTTTACATGGATGACAGGTACTTCCTCCCACCCAGGAGGATTGGGGTGCTGTTTGAAAGAGGGGGTTGGGTGCTGCAGAGGCAACACGTGGCCCCTGTCCACGGCAGCTGCCCACTGAGTGCTCTGGACATCGGAAGGCTGGCGCATGATTTTCACATCAAATCCCTAGGAAAGCCTTCTACTATAGGCAGGATTTGAACTTGCTTTGAAGAGAGAATAGGATTTGGATAAACGGAGAGAGGGAGGAAGACGTGTCCGTTGAGGCAGCATTGTGGGTGAAGGTGCAGGTTGTGGTTTGAAGTATGTATGAAGTATGAAGGTATGAAGGTAGAGAAGAGGCACTGGGAGTCGGTGACAGCTCGAGGACCCTGATAATTCCAGAGGGGCTGACTTCAGTCCTAGAAGATGTGATCATATGCTTGAGAGTTGTGTGTCTCCCTCAGAGAGTGGGGTGGGGGACCTGCTGCAGAGTACTCAGAAGCAGTGACTGGCCCGGCCGTGTTCCTTGCACAGGGCTGGACAACCTGGCAGGATGCTTATGACAAATGGTGTCTGTAAAGAATTTTACTTTTCCTCCTTTCTTCTTTCCTCTTCTACTGGTGATGCTAGTGTGTAGGTAGAGAGGGGAGGATGTAGCTGTAGGAAAGGCGGCTTGACTTCCAGGGACCCTCAGGGACCCAGCAGGTTGGCAGGTGGGAGGGCTTGGGCTGTCTGGAGGGTGGGTCAGTTTGGAGGAGGGGGAGGAACGGGCCCTCCAGGTGTGCCTTTGACAGCGGTGGGCCCTTGCCAAGCAGTGTACCTCAGAGCTGGATCCATCCAATGACCCTTTGCCTGATTTGCTTAAAAGGGGTTTTGTGGATTAGTGGGGGTCTTGGGTTCCCTGCTTTTAAAGTGGTTTGAGCAGAATTAAAGTAATAGTGATTGTGTTTTAAGCTCTCAGTTGTATGGATACACACAGCCTGGTTTGTGTTAAGCTGTCCTAGCATTTGATAAATAAGAATTATAGTAACCTTAACCCTCTCTATGTGGCATGTGTGTATATATATATGTAGACATATACCTGCGTACATATACGTACACACACATACATGCATCGTACCAGGCATAAGGAAATCATCAGAGCATTGTCAAGACCCCTGAGACTAGTCGTGGTAGAAAGTCAGCTCTAAGGCTGAAGAGCAAGGGGGAAGAAGTGGTGCTTTTGGAGCCTAGTGAGGGCTGGGGCAGTGGGGGAGGCAGCCGAGCCAGAACAGCAAGCCAGAGCGAGGCAGTGGGAGGAAGACTCGACGGCTTTCTTCTCCGCCTCCCGGTAGCCTCCTCACCAGGTAGGTTTGCAGGTGGAACCCAATCCCAGGCCTCCCAGGCTGTCTGGCAGGACCCTCTCTCCCCCCAAACCCCAGGGATGCAGTGCATAGGAGTCAGCCTCCCAGAGCACGGAGCAGGCAGGTGAAGGATGGAGGACGGATTGGGAGTGTGGGGTGGGCAAGTGGCAAATAATTGGAACTCTGTGTTATCTTCTTTTGAGGTTAGGACTGTTACCCCACTTTTACAGATGAGGAAACTGAGCTCAAGTGATTTTCTTAAGATCTACCTGGCCCCTAACGCAGAACTAACCTTGGGACCTGGACCTGCATCATGATGAAGTGTGTGGTCTTTAATCGATCCTGTAGAGTTCATTCTGGATGGATAGATGCTTGAGAGGGTTTCTGGGTTAGCCCAGCACCTGGGCGGGCATGAGCAGAGTCCATGTTACTGTTTGAGGAGCCTGTCATAGCTCTGGCTCACAAGAAGCACAAAGACTAACTATGCAATTGCAATTGGCTTGGTTTTGCACTGATGGTGATGATGATACCTGATGTTTGCTGGGACCCCCATACTTTCATGTATGTTGTGGTTGTGGGTCAATGGTGTAGGATAGGAAGGCGCAGTCACTGAGAGTACTTCTTACATTAGATGACATGCCAATGATGGTGGTTTCTCTCTCTCTCTGGCTTGGCCATTCTGGTTACTGTTAACTCCTCTTGTGTCTTCACAGTGGCCAGTCAAGTTTTTGACGTTGAAATTATGAACATCAGTGCGACGCACATGACCCTGGCCTGGAAAATCAACGATAATGAGTCATCCTCTCTCTATACCTATGAGATCCAGGTTGCTTGGCCGACTGATTCCTTCATCCTCAATGTCAGTGATACTTGGGTCAACATCCCTTCACTCAACTCCAGTACCTTATACAACATCACAGTGCGCCCTTTCCTTGGCAACGGTTCTGAGGGCGTGTCGGGTTTTCTCCAAGTGTACACCCGTGAGTTCACTCATTGCTTTGCTAAACTTTCTCACCTGCCTGCTTTGTACCAGGCCCAGGTATGAGACAGAGCTCTGTTCCTGCCCTCAAGGAAAGCGCGGCTCAGTGTGGGAGCCCGCAGGGACTCTTACCTCCTTCATCATGTGCACTGTAGTGATGGTGATCGTTGACTCACCCTCCCCACATTGCTGAGCATTGTGCAACTTGCTTTCCTTGCGCTGTCTCAGGTCACATTCACAGATCTTTGGCATGGTTGGTCTTAGCCTTATTTTATGGACGAGGAAGCCACAGCTGAGAGAGGTGCTTTAGGCAGGTGTCACACCTGATAAGTGGCAGAGGTGGGATTAGACAGTTGGGCTCTCTTGACTCCAGCCTCAGCTTGTAACAACCATTCCAGTGTGGTAGAGGCAAATTGATGCATGGAGACAAAAAGAACCATGTCCCTTTGTCCTTTGGATACTGACATTATAATGAAGCAAGGCACAGATACATCTCATCCTTTCTTTGCTTAACTGTGTCTTAAAGATAAGATGATAGGCAGCAAGTAAATAAAAAGTTTTCTGTTCCAAAGAAGGTCCAGTAATTGAAATAAAACATTAATGGTGTACCACAGTATACAGTATAGTAGTATAGTATTATACCATGTCAGGAGCTTTAGGATATCCCTGTTTTATAGATAAGAAAGCTGCAGCCCAGCACAGCTGGATGATTTGCCCAAGGCCACAGAATTAGCTAGCAAGTACAGCGCAGAAACTTGTACCTGGCTCTGGACCCAGGGCTTGTTTCGCAGAATGCTTTACTTGGGTGTCTGTTGCTTCCTAGGAAGCACAGCTTAGGTGTGTGTTTGTTTTTAAGAGAGAGAGTAAGGTGGGGGAAAGGTGGTAGGGAGGGGCAGAGGGAGAGGCAGAGAGAGAATATTAAGCAGGCTCTATGCCCAGCATGGAGCCCGACATGGGGCTTGATCTCAGGACCCTGAGATCATGACCTGAGCCAAAAGCAAGGGTCGGAAGCTTAACTGACTGAACCACCCACACTTCCCCACACCTTAGGCATTTTTACAAATGTCTTCTGGACTGGCTCTTTGGGGTAAATGGAATTTGCTTTCACTTCTCCATCTTTTACATTTTTTACTGTTTAATCCCTTTATTAGTTAGGATTAAGTTTGACTGTGAGTAACAAAAAAATTCCCAAGTTTGCATGGCTTAAACAAAATAGAAGTCTATTTCTTTGTCATCATAAAAGAAGCACAGTTCCAGGCAGGATGGAATGGTCGAGTGTTAGCCAGGGCTCCATCACAGGAAACAGAGCTTTTTTAAGCCAAAAGGAATTTAATCCTGGTAACTGAGGGTTTATGGAATTATTGGGAGGGTTGGTGTATTATTTTGCTAGGGCTGCCATATCAAAATAGCACAGACTGGGGAGCTTCAACAACAGTAATTTATTTTTCACAGTTGTGGAGGTAAGAAATCTGAGATCAAGGGGATGCATGGGGAGTTTTCTCTGAGGCCGCTCTCCTTGGCTTGTAGATGGCTGCCTTCTCCCTGTGTCTTCACATGGTTGGCCTTTGGTCTGCGTATGTCTGTGTTCTAATCTCTTCCTCTTTTTTTTTTTTTTTTTTTTAAGATTTTATTTATTTATTTGACAGAGAGACAGGGAGAGAGGGAACACAAGCAGGGGGAGCGGGAGAGGGAGAAGCAGGCCTCCTGCGGAGCCGGGAGTCTGCTGCGGGGCTCGATCCCAGGACCCTGGGATCATGACCTGAGCCGGAGGCAGACGCTTAACGACTGAGCCACCCAGGCGCCCCCTAATCTGCTCTTCTTATAAGGACCCCAGTTGTACCGGATTAAGGACCACTCTAATGACCTCATTTTACTTTAATCACCTCTTTAAAGACCCTATCTCTAAATATACCTCACATTCTGAGGTACTGAGGGTTAGGACTTCAACATAGGAATTTTGAGGGGACACAGTTCAAGTCATAACAGCGGGGGAGCAGGCTTTAGGCTGGGACCCAGGAATGACTTCCACCCTAAGGGTGCAGCTTTTGTTACAGCAGCTCCAAGAATATCTGTTCTGAGCTGGAGTCTGGGATCAGCAGCCACGAAGTTGGTTCTAGAGCTAAGCAACCTGAGCTCTAGCCATTGTGTCTATATTCCAGCTACAAGGAGGAGGAGGGGCAGAAGATACTGCTGCACGCGTTCATGATACTTCCTAGAAGTCTGGCAGTACTTCTGCTCACTTCCCATTGGCCAGAACTTAGCCACATGGCTCATCTAGCAGCAAGGGAGGCTGGGCAATGTAGTCTTTATTTCTGGTGGCCATGTACACAGCTAAAAATCTGGGGCTGTATGACGAAGGAAAAAGCAGGGTAGGGAATCAGTTTTAGCAGTCAACAGCAGCTGCTGCTGCATGTCCCTAAACAGAGGTTCATTTATTTCTGGTGAATGACTTTGTACAATCCCAAAACGTGCAGTTTCTGTGTTCTTACCACCAAGTGTTTTCTCAGTGGCCAGAAATACCAGTTTCTGAGGGGCTGGTGTTGTAGATGGTAATACAAAGAAGAGAAAAAGACAGGTCAGGTGTCCCAAGTGTGCATTTAATCTCAGTGTAAATATTTTTGTGAAGTTCAGTCACCCTCATCTTCTGGAGAAATAGGTTCTTAATCTAGCTGTTTACTTTCTTCCCTCAGCCCCTGGTCCAGTTTCTGACTTTAGAGTGACGAATGTCAGCACAAGGGCAATTGGCTTAGCTTGGAGGAGCAATGACTCAGATTTCTTTAAGATACTTACCAGAAAGGAGGGAAGTAGAGAACCTCAGGAGAACACGACCAGCGACCAAAGTATTGTCATTGGTGGCTTATTCCCCGGAACCATGTATGTTTTTGAAATATTTCCAAGAGGACCAAATGGGACTGAAGGGGATCCCCAGACAGTTCGCAATAGCACTGGTAAGCAAATAGGCTGTGTTTTCTGTTAAACTGTTTCTTAAAGGAAATCAGTATAATTTCTAATGTCAAGTTTTTCAAATATTGCTTTTCTTTTTATCTAAGAAAAATCTTAAAAAAATTTATCACGATAGTAATGCATATTCATTATATAAAATACACAGACAAGCAAAAAGAAGAAAATCACATAGTAAACTTATCAACCAGAAATAATCACTGACAACTTTTGGTGTGTTTTTGGTGTATGAAATAATCATTGATAACTTTTATGATTTTATAATTTTAAGATAATATCAGTGTGTGTGTACATATATTTGTATTTTTTTTCTTTTATGAACATTGAAGTCATCCTATTCACGTGGTTTTATAATCTGCTTTTTTCTACCTAGCGGCTTCTTACGGATATTTTTCCCTTTCAGTATAAATATTTCTACAGGATAATTTTAATACCTGCCTGGCATTCCATTGTCTAAATCAAGGGTCAACAGATAATAATGGCCTATGGGCCAAATCTGGCCCACTGCCTGTTTTTATAAAGTTTTATTGGAACACAATTATGCTTATATATTTACATATTGTCTGTCACTTCTTTTGTGCTTAAAATGAGTAGTTGCAACAGAAAATATATGCTCCATAAAGCTTAAAATATTTATTCTGTGGGCCTTAAAGAAAAACTTGGTTGACCCCTGGGATAGATCACTGTTATTCAAAGTGTGATCCAGGGACCCCTGTGAGTCCCCTAGGTTCTTTCAAGGGGTTGACAAGGTATTATTATTATCATCATAATGCTGCTAAAATGATACTTGGCTTTTTCGCCTTTATTCTCTCATGATGAGTGTATAATGGAGTTTTCCAGATGCTGTATGACAAGGGATGACATCATCACTTTGATGACTAATGGAATGTATACTTGTGTATTCTTATGTTTAAAAATTTCCTCATTTTTTATTTCTAATACAGTAAATACAAATATAGCCTACATAAATAAAAATTCTCTTTTAAGAAGGTAAAGGGGTCCTGAGATTCAAAAGTTTAAGAATCACTGATCTGGATGTATTGTAACTTACTTAACTACTCTACTCCTCTTTTATTGGACAAATAGATTATTTACAATCTTTCATAAACAACATTGTTCTTTAAGGTTAAATGATATTGATGAAAGTATCTCATGAAAACAACTTAATGTTCATTACTGTTGTTTTTAAAATCTGAAAGAAATATTTTTGGGAAAGTTTGGAAAACATACACTATTCTTTGATCTTTGCTTGTAGGAGAATTGAAATCTTTTATGCAGAGGGGAAGAATAAAGAAATAAGAATAATTCCTGTAGCCACACATGAAATCAGTTGGGCTTTTGAGATTTTCCTTGTGTAGGTTTCTTCAACTCTGTTGGTTGGGTTAAGACATTGCTAGTTACTTGGAAGATCTGCTTCCAAAATAAAGAACTGCTACCATGCATTCCTCAGATGAAAGGTAGTAATTCCTTTTCAAGTCTGAATTTTAGATTAGACTGTTGAGATATGGGGTCTTAATGTCAACATATATTTCTTTTCTTCTTTTGAGAATGTTGCTAATGATGAGGATCACCATGGTGCAGGACCCTTGATTTTGTGTGACTTGCCAATGACCAGAGCTTACTGTAATAATAGTTAAACATATTGGGGGTCTGCAGAGTGCTGGGCTCTCATCCTTTATTTTTAAATTTTTATTACAACTTCATGAGGTGGGTACTGTTAAGCTCTCTATTTTGCAGAGTAGGGAATGGGAGCTTTGTGAGCTTGGTAGTTAACTGGCCCAGAGTGACAAGGTAGTGCCCTGGCCTCTGTCTGGCTTTGAAGGGTGGGGTCTTGACGAGAGTGTGGGCTGACACTTGGACATCGTGCGGCTGCAAAGCAATTTAGGACTGTTTGTTGAGAAGGCATCTCTTGTACTGTAGCCTATAGTTGAGTCTCATTGAACGGAAATCAAGAAGAGTGGTAGTAAGGCACTCGTCTCTTAGGGGATTACCATTCTATTATTGAACAACTTACATTATTACTAAAATCGGTATAACAGTATTAAAGGCAATTTTTTTTTAAAGATTTTATTTATTCATTTATTTGAGAGAGTGAGAGAGAGAGAGCACATGAAAAGGGGGAGGGTCAGAGGGAGAAGCAGACTCCCTGCCGAGCAGGGAGCCCGATGCAGGACTCGATCCCGGGACTCCAGGATCATGACCTGAGCTGAAGGCAGTCGCTCAACCAACTGAGCCACCCAGGCGCCCTATTAAAGGCAATTTTGAAGAAGGGAAACAAATATAGTATGACCCAGCAATTCCAGTCCCATATATATATATATGGGACTGGAACAGTTATTTGTACACCGGCATTCATAGTAGCATGATTCACAATAGCTAAGAGGCGGAAACAACCTAGTGTCCGTCAACAGAGCAGTGGATAGACAAAATATGGTATATCTACACAATAGAATATTATTCAGCCATAAAAAGAATGAAATTCTGGCTCTTTTTTGTGGAGCCTCGGAGGCGGTAGGCTGCTTCAGGATGAAGCTGAACATCTCTTTCCCAGCTACTGGCTGCCAGAAACTCATTGAAGTGGACGATGAACGCAAACTTGGCAACTTTTATGAGAAGCATATGGCCACCGAAGTTGCTGCTGATGCTCTGGGTGAAGAATGGGAGGGTTATGTGGTCCGAATCTGTGGTGGCAATGACAAACAAGGCTTCCCCATGAAGCAGGGTGTCTTGACCCATGGCCGTGTCCACCTGCTGCTGGGTAAGGGGCATTCCTGCTATAGACCAAGGAGGACTAGAGAGAGAAAGCGCAAATTGGTTCAGGGTTGCATTGTGGATGCCAATCTCAGTGTTCTCAACTTGGTCATTGTAAAAAAAGGGGAGAAGGATATTCCTGGACTCGCTGATACTGTGTGCCTCGTCGCCTGGGGCCCAAAAGAGCCAGCAGAATCCGCAAACTTTTCAGTCTCTCTAAAGAAGCTGATGTCCGCCAGTATGTTGTGAGAAAGCCCCTAAACAAAGAAGGTGAGAAACCTAGAACCAAAGCGCCTAAGATTCAGCGTCTTGTCACTCCACGTGTCCTTCAGCACAAACATTGGCGTATTGCTTTGAAGAAGCAGCGCACTAGGAAAAATAAGGAAGAGGCTGCAGAATATGCTAAACTTTTGGCCAAGAGAATGAAGGAGGCCAAAGAAGAACACCAGGAACAGATTGCTAAGAGACGGAGGCTGTCCTGTCTGAGAGCTTCTACCTCTAAGTCTGAGTCCAGTAAAAAATGAGATTTTCTGAGTGACAAATAAATAAGATCAGACATAAAAAAAAAAAAAAGAATGAAATTCTGGTACCTGCTACAATGTGGACGGACCTCCAAAACATTAGGCTACATGAAAGAAGCCAGACACAGAGGACAAATATTGTATGTTTCCATTTGCAAGAGGTTCTTGGAATAGGCAAGTTCACAGAGACTAAAGTAAAATAGGAGTTACCAGGAGGGAGGATTTGCTGTTTCATGGGAACAGAGTGTATGTTGGTGGTGATGGAATGTTTTGGGTATAGATGGTGGTGCTGGTTACACACATTGTGAATGTGTTTAATGCCACCGAGTTGTACATTTACAAATGGTTAAAATGATAAATATCATATGTATTTTACCACCATCAAAAGGAAGGGAATCAAGAATAACGCCTCTCTTCTAACGCAGCTGCATTCTCTTCACATCTGTGTCCACAGTCATAGGTTTTGTTTATATCATTGTAATTATTATACAAATCATTGTATTTGAACTTTTTTTTTTATGGTCTTCATGTTTTTAGTGGCTGCAGAATGTTTCATTAGGTAGCCAGATCACAGTTTACAAAGCCCTTCTCTTTTTGTGGAATATTTAGATTATTTGTAGGTTCTTTTACCTTTATAGATAATGGCTTTCTTTTATGGCCTTTGTGGAATCCCTTTGACATCAGGAATTTGGTGGTAGGGAAAGAAGCCTCTCAAAGCTGCCTCCCTTTAAGGAGGACACACTTAAAAAAAAATTTTTTTTTGGAAGAGAGTATATGCTTGTGGTACAAAATAATGATAAAAAAAACCCCACAAAATGTTTTATAGTGAAAATATTTCCCTCTTTTGTCCCCTCAGCCACTCAGTTTCTCTCATTAGAGATGACCGTGGTTCCCAGGTGAAGAGAGAAGTGTTTTGAAAGCAAGGGCGGAAAAGACGCCCTGCTTATGTCATTATTTCTGGGCCACGATCTGTGCATTCATATTATATCTGGTTCAGTGTGTAGAGGTGAGGTGGGCAGATCAGGGTCCCCACAGTACTCCTGAGGGAGATTTCTCTTCTGAGCCCAGCTCTGAGGGTGGACCATGTGTGTGTGTTTTCCCTTCACCCCGGCCTCAAATTCTCCCTACCTAGTGAATGTCAACTCTTCAGTATGCCTGACTATGTTATAGAAAGATGTTTTCTTTTGAGGAAGTGGTTAAAAAAATAAAAATCTAGTTATCGAGATACAGGATACATCCTGAAAAACACACACAGCCTAAGTGTGTGGCTTGATGAATTTTCGCAAATTGAACCCATCTGGTCATCAGCACTCAGATGAGGAATCTGAACATGATTTCCACTCCAGAAGACCCCCCGAAGGGGGCGTTTTTAGGGCAAAAGCAAAAGACCAGAGAACTGACAGGATGAATTGGTACATTCATCTGTGTTATGGAAGAGCCAAAATCCTGGAAAGAAATGAGTGTGTGTGTTTCTCACTGGTTTGGAGTTTACATTTTGTGAACTCATTTGAGACTTTAATGGCAAAAGAACAGTTGTCTTGACACTTCGAAATCAAGCTGGGCATTATGATGGTCCTTGACAGACTTCCTTTTCTCTTCCTTTCTTCCAACCAGACCTCAGTGCCGTCTTTGACATCCGTGTGCTCCAGTTCACCACGACCGAAATGGAGTTGGAGTGGCAGAATACGGACAGTGCTTCTGACTATACCTACTGCCTGCATGTATGGTCCAAGAATGGCTTCAACAAGACAAACAGTTCTCACAAAGCCATCACTCTCAAAGACTTGGTTCCAGGCACGTTATACAACATCACAGTCTTTCCAGAAGTGAACCGCGTCGTGGGCAAGTCTGGCTTCACTGCACAGTACACACGTAAGTTTCTCAGGATGCCCTGCCAAGGGTTGTTCTCTCTGACCCTGTCCTGGAGGGTGGGAAGTAAGCGTTGGTTAAACACTGGGGAAGCCACTGTATTTCTGGGCTCCCGGTAGAGTAGGAAGCTGCTTAAGCAGAAAACGCTGGAAAACAGCAAAGGTCCTGCTGTTCTTGGCATTAGTGCTGAGCCCTGTGAACCTGGAATTGTCTTTATTTTTTATTTTTATTTATTTATTTTTTTAAAGATTTTATTTATTTGAGAGAGAGAGAGAATGAGAGAGAACACATGAGAGGGGGGAGGGTCAGAGGGAGCCGAGCAGGGAGCAGGGAGCCCGATGCGGGACTCGATCCAGGGACTCCAGGATCATGACCTGAGCCAAAGGCAGTCGCTTAACCAACTGAGCCACCCAGGCGCCCTATTTTTATTTTTATTTTTATTTTTTTTAAGATTTTATTTATTTATTTGAGAGAGAGAGAGAATGAGAGAGAACACATGAGAGGGAGGAGGGTCAGAGGGAGAAGCAGACTCCCTGCTGAGCAGGGAGCCCGACGTGGGACTCGATCCCGGGACTCCAGGATCATGACCTGAGCTGAAGGCAGTCGCTTAACCAACTGAGCCACCCAGGCGCCCTGGAATTGTCTTTAGAAGCAGAAAGTGATCCGATAAGCATGGATGACGTAACTGTTCCATTCATTGCTTGGGAATACAGACAAGAGGAGGTCACCTTGTCATGTTGACGTTAGATGATATTGCCCAAGTGAGGAGCTTTGCACGCAGCAGTAAGCGTGTCTTGCTAATGTTTGATCTAACTATATGGTAGACATGGTAGTTTGTGTTATCTTTTTAGTATATTTTTCTCTTTCATTAATCAGATTTCCAAAACAGATAGGAAATTCTATCTGGAAAATATATTTCAGATAAGCTTAAAAGTATTAAAAAATTTTTTTTGAGACTTAATCTGTATAATTATTTTCTGAAGGTCTTTTTGGGAAGCCTTCTATCGTTTGAGTCAGCAAATGTAACTTTTATTTATTCTGTCCCAAAGGGGCCAGGCTATTTTTAGAGGCAGTAAATAAAATAGTCCTGGAATTGAAGGCTAATCCATGCTTTTTTTTTTTTTTTTTTTTTTTAAATGAAGGGCCCAGCAATGTGTCCAATATTGAAATACATACCAACACCACAGCAGCATCCTTAATTTGGCACAACTCTGATGAAGCTTCTGATACGTACATCTACCACCTTCTTATTGAGAAGGATGGAAATTCCAGCAGGGCAACACAACTTGTCACAGACATGGGTGTCACCAATGCCACAGCCACTGAGTTGATACCTGGCTCGGCATACACAGTGGAGATCTTCACCCTAGTGGGGAACACCACCTGGTCCCTGGCTCCTAGCTGGCAGTCATTCTGTACAGGTGAGTAGCCCCAGGTGCCACTTGGACTCTTTCCTGGGTGGTGCCCCAGGTGCCACTTGGACTCTTTCCTGGGTGGTGCTGACCTTGCAGGTAGGTCCTCCACAGACTTTATTAAGTTTCTTGTAGTATGCAGTACACTGATCTCTTTGAGACATCCTATTAGCTTATTAGTGCTGTCTTATCATTTATTCATTCAACAAGCATTTATTGAGCAGTTGCTATATGCCGGGCGCTGTTAAGTGACACCTGTAAGTCCCAGCCTTCCTGGAACTTTTATCCTGGTGGGGAGGACAGATAATAAACAAGATAAATAAGTAAGCTATTAGAGGATGATTACTGCTAGGGGGAGGGAAAAGAACAAGGAAGGGGGCGATGAGATGTTTGTCTAGGGTGCGCCAGTGAAAAGGTAACTGTTCAGCGAAGACCTGAAGGAAGTGAAGGAGCCAGCCATATGGCTATCAGGGCATAGAGCATTATAGGTAGAGAAACAGCCAGTGCAAAGGCCCTGAGGCTGAAGTATGCCTGCTTTGTTGAAGGAAGAGCAGGAGGCCAGGATGGCAGAAGTGGACCAATGGGAGCAAGGGGGCGACGGATGGGTAGATGGTGAGACCCAAGAAGTAATGGGCCAGGAAATGGATGCCATGCAGGCTTGTAGTTCATAGTTTGGCTTCCCCACTGAAGAAGATTGAAAGGATATTGTTAAAATGGATGCTCAGCCTTTTCACCTGTCTTGATCCTTATCTCTCAGTGCAAATAGTGCTACAAAGAGAGGGGCAGCCTTGTGTTTAACTGAGGGAGCTTTCAGAGAGGACCCCAGGGACTGTTTTACAGATGCTTCTGAGTCCTTCGGCTCACAGATCTGGTTGGGGCACCTTTGTCACCTTGGCGGCTGTGCACCACCTTATTCTCTACCCTCTTTGTACCTATATCTTCTCTTCCTTTGACCAAGCTACTTAAGTGTGTTCAGGCTGATTTGGAAGTAGAGGGTTCCCATTGGATCAGCCTCCCTGGTAGTATAGGAGCTGGGACCTTGATGACCTGTGACCTCTCACATGGAGCAGCTAGAGAAATCTTGGTGGCTCTGAGTCACCTTTGCTAACGTGGGCTCCATCCACCTGGTCTGGACACTGATCTTTGGGGTTTGGGTGGCTTCCGTTGCTGATATTTATCTTATCTATAATTACTGCCGCCTAAAACAAGAGAAATATGTATGAGCATTTATGACTGGGGGTGGCTGGAAGAGGAGCTGTGGGGGGAGGTGTGCATTGGGCAGATTACTTTTCCAGGCATCAGGTGGAGAATGTGGTAGGTGCACCAAGTGATTTGTTAGTGCTTTTTCTGCTGTAAAATACTGCAGCACTGAAGTAGTGATAATACTCTCGCCCAGTACATTAGTCCACAACCCCAGGATCATGACCTGAGCCAACATCAAGAGTCGGAAGCTTGACCGACTGACCAGCCAGGCACCCCTAACACCCTGTTTTAAAGATGAAGAAACTGACCCCATTTACCATTGATTATTCAGCATGTTGTGTGTCTATAAAATACCCTGGACTTGGACTTAGAAAACCTGGGGTCCAGTTTTGCCTCTGTTGCTTACCAGCCATGTCATCTTTAGCGACTTAACGTAACCCCTCGAAGCCTCAGCTGATTCGTCGGCGGAGTGGGACAGCATTAATCCTACCTCTTCCAGAAGGATTGTCAGGAGGGCCCCAAGATGAGATGACGTGGGTGAAGTAGTTGCTGCTCCATACCGTTACGTCACAGTGAGCTCTCACGGAGCCCTGTTCTCTTCCAGCGTGGTGACTGACGGCCACTGTTTCATATAATCCCCGTACAGTCCTGCAGCTGAGGCTTAGTTGGGGGACTGAGCCAAGGTCACACAGTTCAGTAATGCCTGATTCAAGGTCAGCCTCTGCCTCTTCTGCCGTACCTCATGGCTCTCTCCTCATTACAGATGAGCCAGGATTCTGCTGCTCGCTAAGGGCCAGTGTTTGCAAAGGCACAAGGCCCAGACTGTCACGATGAGCTGTGCTTGCTTTGCAGATCCTTTACCAGTAGCCTCCTTCCACTGCGAAGTTGTCCCCAAAGAGCCAACCTTGATTCTCAAGTGGGCCTGCCCTCCCGGCACCAACATGGGCTTCCAGCTGGAGATCAGCAGAGGAGCTTGGAAAAATGTGACAGACCTGGAGAGCTGCTCCTCAGAGAACGGCACTGAGTACAGGACGGAAGTCACATATTTGAACTTTTCTACCTCCTACAACATCAGCATCGCTGCCTCTTCCTGTGGCAAGATGGCGTCTCCCACCCAAAACACCTGCCTCACTGGCATCACAGGTAGGCTTTGTGGTGGCGGCGGTGGGGGGGGGGTCGCAGGTGGCACTGGGGTCACCCCTGGAGAATGCTGATCCAGTGGATCTGCAAGTGTGGCCTAGAAATCTGTATTTCTTTTTAAATTTCTGCTAAAATACATGTCTAGTCTTAAAAAGCAGAGTAAGAGGGACTCTTTTTTAGTATTCCAAAAGTTTCCTTTATTTTACAGAATAATTCATTGCCACGTTTTCTTTTAAGTGGTAAGTTTCCTTATTGCATTAAAAAAAAGCATTTTCATAGAAATATTCAGATACAGAAGTAGAAGAAAGCATAAAGAAACCCACATATCCGTCATCACCCAGTTGGACATTTGTCAGAGTTTGACCAATCTTCTTTGATTTAGATCCCCTCCTCCCTGATTGGATTACTTTGAGACCAGTCCTGGTCATTCTGTACTTTTATTTATAAATATTTCAAGAAGTATTCCTCCTGGATAGAGGCTCCTTTCCCCTTTCTTTCAGACAGAACCACATTGCTATTACCATCACACTTAAAAAGTGAACAGTACTTTTATTCACCATGATCACCTATCCAGTCAAGATTCATATTTCCCTAGAGTCCATATTGACAAGCTCCCCAGCTATTTTGAGGAACGGGGGTCACTTCCTGTCCAGGGGATCTCACTAGTCAAACTTCTTATGCTCATTGTCCTTATTTTTTGTACTTGGAAAAATGTTGCTTCTTACAGCTTTGCTTCATTTTTATCTGTCTTTTCCTTGCCATGTCTTTGCCTACATTACATCTTAGATCAACGTAGTGGGTTGGTTTTGCTTTGTGCTTTTTGACCCCTGGGTATGTTTCCTTTAGGGTATCAGAATGTTTCTGGAAATTTTCCAGAGAATCTGTGGTTGTAATAGTAAGAGAAGAAGGTCTCTTACTACAGGGACACTGACTTGAAAAGTGGTTGCGGGGTTCTGTGGACAGAGCCTTGGATTTAGACAGGCAGACCTGGGTTTGATTCTAAGTTCTGCCTTTTACCAGCTATGTGATCTCAGGAAAGCTACCTAATCTCTATGAGTCTTGTTTTTCTTAGTTATAAAAAGGGGAAATAATACTAGCTTTCAGACTGCCTTCGGCTCAGGTCATGATCCTGGAGTCATAGGATCGAGTCCCGCATCAGGCTCCCTGCTCGGCAGGGAGTCTGCTTCTCCCTCTGACCCTCCCCCCTCTCATGCTCTCTCTCTCTCTCATTCTCTCTCTCAAATAAATAAATAAAATCTTTAAAAAAAAAAAAAGAAAAGAATACTAGCTTTCAGGACTGTTATACAAATTAGGTGAGGTAATGTGTATGGAAGACACACTTGAGGGCGGCCATGTATGGGTGCTGGGGTTGTGCACCGTGCAGTTCCAGGGGACACCATTCATAGGGACTGCAGTGTGCATGGGGCTGCTTGGAGTTGTATAGTACACAACTGTATCAGATGGCCTGGGTGACGCTCCTTTGGGCTTCTGCAGCACTCTAGAACATAATAGAAATAAGGAACCTTTTTTGTAGTTCTGTTTTATAATGTCATCTCTTCAGCCACTGAGGATCGTAAGCCATGTCTGAAGTGGTATTTCTGGGGCTATACACAGTGTCTAGGGAAGAAAAGGAACTTGTCAGAAATAGTTGTTTCTGAAGCTGAACAGTGTGGTTGGTTTGGATAATGACCACTTCTTTAGTCTAGTAATTCTCTTTTTTTTAAATTTAATTTAATTTTTTTTTATTCTTATGTTAATCCCCATACATTACATCATTAGTTTTAGATGAAGTGTTCCATGATTCATTGTTTGTGAGTAATTCTCTTTTTAATCTGACGCTCTCCCTTTCCTCAGATGAATTTTTGTTTAAGATTTATTTATTTGTTTGAGAGAGAGAGAGAGAGCGGGGGTGGGGTAGGCATGGGAAGAGGGGCAGAGGGAGAGAATCTTCAAGCAGACTCCGGGCTGAGCATGGAGCCTGATGGCAGGGCTCGATCTCACGACCCATGAGATCATGACCTGAACCGAAACCAAGAGTTACCATCTGAGCTACGCAGGTTTCCCCCTTCCCACAGATGAATTTTTACATACAAATTTAACATATCTTTTATTTACTGTAAAAGTGGAGCTGTATTTTCTCTGGGAGGTATGGGATGGGTAAATCTTGGAGAAATGGAGTGATGGTTTTTTAGCCATCATTTGTTAGTTGCTCACTCTACCCCGGGTTAAGGGACACCGGTGAGTAAGGCAGACAGGGTCCCTGGAGCATAGGATTCAGATAAGCAGAGAGGGAAAGGATTTCCAGCCCTGCAGGTAGATGAGCTAGCATGCTACTGACGATCTAGTCTCCTCTGGGCAGCTAGAAGGCAAAGAGCTGAGGGGGATCCTGGGAGCCTGGGTTAGGAAGCCTGGCTAGGCGGTTGACAGTTAGAAATGGGGATAGCGCCCCCAAGTGGTCACTGCTCTCAGTTACTTGAGAGGTTGCCCAAAGCTGTGCCGTCCAGTAGAAAATAATTTCCTAAGAGCCGCATTAAAAAAAAAGTAAAAAAGAGGCACCTGAGTGGCTCAGTGGGTTAAGTGTCTGCCTTTGGCTCAGGTCGTGATCCCAGGGTCCTGGGATGGAGCTTGGCGTCAGGCTCCCTTGCTCAGCGGGGAGTCCGCCTCTCCCTCTGCCTTTGCCCGTCCCCTGCCCACCCGAGCGCGCTCACTCTCTCTGCCCTCTCTCTTTCTCAAATAAATAAAATCTTTACGAAAATTAAAAAATAAAAAAAGTAAAAAGGAAGAGCCAACGTTGATTTAAATCACATTTTATTTAACTCAGTATATTAAAAGGATCATTTCAACATGTACTCTACATGAAGTCAATTATTGATGAGTTATTTTACATTCTTTTCTCATGCTAAGTCTTTGACATCCAGTCTGTGTCTTGCATGTCCAGCACGCCCGAATTCGGGCTGGTCATGTTTTATGAGCTCACAGCTCCGTGTGGCTGGTGGCTGCCGTGCTGGGTGGTGCAAATGTGAGAGCCACACTGTGGTGTTTTCGTTCAGTTTTCTCAGTCTCCCTGAATCTTGACCACAAGATTCTAACTGTATGTGGGAGACAAATTTAGGTAGAGAGAGAGAGAGAGAGAGAGAGTGTGTGTGTGTGTGTGGGGGTGTGTGTGTGGAGAAGGATCATCTTTTTTTTTTTTTTTTTTTTTAAGATTTTATTTATTTATTTTACAGAGAGAGACACAGCGAGAGAGTGAACACAAGCAGGGGGAGTGGGAGAGGGAGAAGCAGGCTTCCCATGGAGCAGGGAGCCCAATGAGGGGCTCGATCCCAGGACTCTGGGATCATGACCTGAGCCGAAGGCAGTCGCTTAACGACTGAGCCACCTAGGCACCCCGAGAAGGATCATCTTTAATTCAGCATTTTCTTCCTTTTGTATTAATTCGGAGGCTGACCTCAGAAGCTCAGTTCAGAAAGCGGAGGCACGTCGTCATGGAGGTTGTGCATGGAATGTTCCTGCGTGGGCTTTTCTGGTTTCTGGGAAGAGGGTTGGTCGGGTTTTTCTAGGTGGCGTTTTTAACCAACTCCAGCAAAATAAATGAGGACTTTAGTTTGAAGAATGTGGACCAGGAACACAGCCAGGCCTCAGGAGAAAGTGCATCCTCTCTATGTCAGCTTTGCTTTCCTCCAGGTCTCTGTGTTCCATCATTGTCCTCAGCCAACCATGCTGTCCGGTGCCGCATCCACGCGGTGGGCAAGTGGCTGCAGATGGCTCCCCGCTTAGAGTTCCAGCCGCACAGGCTCTCTCTCGCTCTCTGTCTATCCCAGTTCTCTAGGTCAGAGGGCCTGGGGGAAGATAGGAAAGGCAGGTTGTGTTCCAACAACAAGGCTGCTGGGAGCCTGCCGGGGCGTGTGGCTGGGCACGCCGAAGGTGCCATTATGAGCTGGGGGATCTGCTCTCTCTGCCCCCCACTTCCTTCCCTGTCCCTTGCTCTGGATGTGCTCTGCGTGAGCCCCCCACACCGCTCCCAGAGCAAGGGCAGAGCTTGAGGGCCCTGCAGCCAACTTCTCCTTAATAATTTTGTCCCCCCTTTGGCTTTAAATGGTGGGTAATCATGTTTCGTTTTGTTCTGTTTCAGACCCCCCTTCTCCAGATGGATCCCCGAATATCACGTCCATCAGTCACAATTCAGTAAAGGTTGAGTTCAGTGGGTTTGAAACCAGGCACGGACCCCTCAAAGCCTATGCGCTCATTCTCACCACTGGGAACGGTAAGGAGGGGTCGGTTATGGGTTGAACAGCCCATGAGCCATGCCGTGACCGGGGGCCATTCCTGTGCCCACTGAGGCACACTGGAGATACAAATACATGTCTGTTTCTACACTGTCACCCACGCTTTGGCACTCAGAAGGGGGTGGGTGAGCTATTTGCCCGATGATCTAGGTCAGGGTTGACAGCCTTTCTGTGAAGGGCTGGAGAGCAAATAGTTTAAGCCTTGCAGGCCGTGCAGTCTCTCTCACAGCCACCTGACTCTGGCTCTGTGGGTTGAGAGTAGCCGCAGGGGATGCGTGAAGAATGAGTGTGGTTGTTCCAAAGAAATACTATTTATCAGAATGGGCAACCGACTGGATTTGGCCTGTAGGTTCATACCTTGCTGACCTCTGACCTAGGTTTTTCTTCTCTTTTATAGCACAGAGTCTTCTAGGTGACAGAATGTTAGTCTTAACCAACTCTCTCTCTCTCTCTCTCTCGCACGTGCACACATATACACGCACACACATCACACTCAAAGGGTAGCTTTCTCTTGAAGGAAAACAGAAAGTGATTTCTGCGTTTGTGGTGGGACCTTGCAAAAATCTTCCTTGCAGCTGAGAGAGGGGGTGGCTCACATGCCCCTTTTCCCGGACAGGACTCCATTACATTCTTTGGTGGGAAGAAGGGCATGATTCGAGGGTGTCTTTGTTAGCTGCATGTGGGTGCTTTGCACAAGGCTGGGTTTTCAGGGCCAAGTTTTGTTGTTTTCGTTGATTCTTTAAATGTGAACAGTGCAGTGCTGCCTCTGCCCATCCTCTCAGCCCATGGTACTGTCCTCACATCCTCGAGGACCGAGAGGGCAAGCACCTCGTAAGGGGTGTGGGGATCCTGGAAGACAAGGAATTTGCTGGTGTCATAAACCCATGGCAGAGTTTCAACAACTGATGCTGAGCTCTCTCAGTCTCTCTGTCTTTTCATTTTGGGTCTGTTTCAAGTCATTTTGTGGCGAAGGTTTTCAGCAAAATCCAAGCTTAGATGTTGCTGAATGGAGGAGGCAATATTTCAGAGTGACCAGAGTGACCAATACCAGCCTGTGGTGGATGAGACCGCACGTGCCACGTCGATGGTCTGGGTTAGAAATCAACCCCACCGTGTATGCAGTGTGGCCTTGGGCCTAGGTCCTTTTAGCTTTCCGTGCCTTCATTTTCCCACCTGTAAGATGGGGGTAGTAAACCCACGTGAGAAGACTACTGTCAGTGACTATTGTCTAGTGCACGGAGATTAAGTAAGTAAGGCACGTAGAACTTGGTATAAGTAAAGCCTGACACAAGAGCGCACACGTGAGAGATGGCAGCTCTCACCATTACTGCCCAGTGTCTTTGCCATTATTCAGACGCATTCCAGGAAACTTATCTGTCAGCAATCACTTGCTTATGACTTTCTCCCTGTGTGCCTTTCTTAGCTGCTCACCCGTCTGCAGATGTTTTGAGGTATACGTATGAGGATTTCAAAAAGGGGGCCTCAGACACCTACGTGACATACCTCATAACAACAGAAGAAAAGAGACGTTCTCAGGGCTTGGCTGAAGTCTTGAAATACGAAGTCGATGTTGGGAATGAGTCAACCACGCACGGTTATTACAATGGGAAGCTGGAACCCCTGGGCTCCTATCGGTAATGGCCTAGTGGTTCTTGCCCTTTGGGGCTGAGCCTCGTGAGTGCAAAGCTTTCCATGGCTGGGGTGGTGGCCACGTCTCAGCTACCTCTTTCCTTCTTGTCATCCCATAGGGCTTGTGTGGCTGGCTTCACCAACATCACCTTTAACCCTCACCGTAAGGGACTCATAGATGGGGCCGAGAGCTACGTGTCCTTCGGTCCCTATTCAGATGCAGTGTTCTTGCCCCAGGATCCAGGTAGAGAAAGAACAACAGTGCTGTTAACATTTCAGTGGGGGTTTTGCTTCCGGTGTCTGCATGCTTCCCTTGGCTCCCTGGGAGGGCTGGTCGCTCCTCCCAGAAGTTGAGATGTCACGTGGCCATCAAGACCCACCTCAGCTTCCTGGAAGGAGGCGCCCCGCCCCTGCCCCCCCACCCCCCCATGCCGGTTGCCCTTCCACTCTGCAAACACATTTAGTCCTTTTTTCTTGGTGTGGTCATTTGTGTGCCCACGTTCCAGGCACACCATTTGACTTTCAGAGCATAAAACCTTCCAACGTGAGGGTCAGAAGGAGCCACAGAAGTCATCTTGTCCAGCTCCTCTCTGAGAAACGAGGCTGTGAAGGCCCAGAGAGGGGCAGTGACTTGCGTAGACGCAGGCCTGACACTCTGGCCTCAGACTCCTTGTCAGGCACGCCTGTCCTCTGTCACACAGAATGGAGTGATTCGGGAGCCTCGGGGACCCAGGGGGGTGGTATATACCTTCAAGCTGAAGACAAAGTGATCAACTGGTTCATTAGTTTGTCCGGTTTTTATACTTGATAGTTGTTGGCTTCGGGAAAGAAGCCCCAGGAGCAAAGTTCAGGGAGTCCCCACCCCCTTGCCCAGTAAACACATGGGTTTTATGTCACTTGAGCACAGTGCTGTAGGTCCTTCTGCTCGTACGGGGCATTAGTCCCACAGAGTCAGAGGTAGCAGGAACCGTGGGGAACATTTTGTCTAGTGGTTTTTAAACAGGGGTCGCTCCAGTCCTGACACCCTCCCCGCCCCCACCCTACCTCCACAAGAGTGTTTCTGCTTGGTTTTCTATGTTATATATTGGGCTGCTGCATGCAATTTCATTTGAAGAAGGACATCAGCAGTAAGAACAACTTGAAAATCACAGACAGCCCAGTTCCCTACATTTGCAGCTGAGGAACCTGAGGGGAGGGGAGCCGAGACTTTCTCAAGACCAACCCGTTAGAGGTGGGCTGGGGCTGGGAACCCAGCTCCCAAATGCCTAGACTAATTTTATGTCCAAAGGTATTTCACACACACACACACACACACACACACACGCACACGCACACACATTCTGATTTGAGGACTCTGGGCTGGTTGTTTGTGAACATCTTTTTTCTTTTTAAAAACTCAATTTTATTTAAATTCAATTAACATGCAGTGTATTATTAGTTCGCGAGCACCTTCTAAGTGCCTCCCATTTGGACTTTTCTCAGGTGTCATCTGCGGAGCAGTGTTCGGGTGCATCTTTGGTGCCCTGGTAATTGTGGCTGTGGGAGGCTTCATCTTCTGGAGAAAGAAAAGGTGACTGTTGTTTATGTTGATGATAGTACCCTACTTTTTTTTTTTTTTTTAAGATTTTCTTTGTTTATTTGTCAGCGAGAGAGAGAGAGAGAGAGAGAGAGAGCGAGCACAAGCAGGGGGAGTGGCAGAGGGAGAAGCAGGCTTCCCGCCAAGCAGGGAGCCCGATGTGGGGCTTGATCCCAGGACCCTGAGATCATGACCTGAGCTGAAGGCAGATGCTTCACCAACTGAGCCACCCAGGCCTCCCCCTGCCCCATACTCTACTTTTTAAGGGAGCTTTTTACTATGGAAAATTTCAGACATTCACACAGTTGGAAGGACTGGTGTCTTGGGCCCCCATGTCCCCCTCATCCACACTCTCTACTGACTGGCCAGTCCTACTTCTTCGCAGTCCCTGCCAGCATCAGATCGCGGCAAACACTGCGGTGTAGGCTGCTCCCTTGAAACTGTGCCTTCTGGTTCATGGGTCAGTTGTGTGGTGTTAAGAGATTTCATTTAGAGTTGGTAAGTTTGAACACACGTGCTGTCTGACTAGCAGATAGGCAGCTTCGATGTCTACAATGATCTGTGATGTGACACCGAGGGGCGTTAAATAAATGCGGTGCATAAATAGTAAAATAGCAGCATCTCTGTTTTGAGTGCTTACTGTGTGCCTGGATTTGTGTTTTCCATCAGCTCTCATATTCATGGGGCTCTAGGAGGCAGGTCTTTTATTTTTATTTTTATTTTATGTTAATCACCATACATTACATCATTAGTTTTTGATGTAGTGTTCCATGATTCACTGTTTGCGTATAACACCCAGTGCTCCATGCAGAACGTGCCCTCTTTAATACCCATCACCAGACTAACCTATCCCCCCACCCCCCCCTCCCCTCTGGAACCCTCAGTTTGTTTCTCAGAGTCCATCATCTAGGAGGCAGGTCTTGAAAGCCCCATTGTGAGGACACACAAGCCAAGTGTAGGAAGTGTGGAAGTGAACTTGAACCTGGAGTTTGCACCTCATTGCTCGCTCTCCTGTCTGACCATGTGTGGGGCGGGTGAAGCCTGTGTACCTGCTGGGATTCTTTTGCACTCATCAGGTGCTGCCAACCGGGGAATTTCATTCTGGCTCCGAGTTCCTTAAAATGGCCGCGCCAGGTTCTTCTGCCGCCATCTTGCCCTGTTGGGTTGACAGGCAGATTTTAAATTTTTTTGTGTGTGTGAGGGAAGGGTCAAAATAGCTTTATTGTTTCTTGTTGAAATAAAAGTTATACATTCTTGTGGCAAAAGACAAAACAGAAAAGAAGAAGAAGAGCGAAGAAATGAGATAATTCATAATCACAGCACCTGCACAAAACTACATTTAACATTGATGTAATTGTGAAACTCACACATGAATACACACACACACACACACAGGAATCACATGTATCATTTTGTAGTCTGCTTTATTATTTAAGACATTGTGGACAGCTTCAGATCTTTGTTTTAAGTGGATACACAGTATTCAACTCTACGGAAATAATTCAATTTTCCTGATGTTTTTGGTTTTGGTTTTTTTTTTGCCACAGTTACTTAACCTGTCCCTAAATCCTTGGGCATATTCATGATTATTTCCTTAGGCTAAATTCCAAAGTGGGCAGTTGCTGGCTCAGTGGGTATGATGCCTGTTTTCAGTTTTTTTTTTTATTTTTTTTTTAAGATTTTATTTATTTATTTGACTGAGAGAGAGAGAGAGAGAGCACAAGCAGGAGGGAGGGGGATAGGGAGAGGGAGAAGCAGGCTCCCCGCTGAGCAGGGAGCCTGATGCAGGACGCGATCCCAGGACCCTGGGATCATGACCTGAGCCGAAGGCAGATGCTTAACCCACTGAGCCACCCAGGTGCCCCTCAGTTTTGATACATACTGACAAATTGCCCTCCAGAAGGTGGGTTTTTTTTTTTTTAAACACCAATATGGGGTTTAGCCAGCAATGCAGGAGAGTGCCAGGAGCCCCACCACTCTTCCTATAGTGGAGATATTTTCTGGTTTATTCCATTAACTTATCAGGAAGCCTTTCTCAAAGAACAGTATGAAAAAATGACTCTGGCTTTACAAAAGGGTCATGCTACTGATACACATTTACCCAAAGATATTTCTAACAGTGGCCTGAGCAAGATTATTCCATACTTTTGGATGGTATGAGAGTTACTTCACAGATTTGTAACCAGGGTTTGCTGCCTAGACCTCTAAGCTTAGTATTAGGGAACAGGATTTGGTGTCATATGTATAAAAAAGGCCTTTTGTAGATACGTGAAAGGGGAAAAGCCCAGAATTACCCTTTTTTGGTCTTAATGGCTCTTTGTTTCTTTTAAAACAGGAAAGATGCGAAGAATAATGAAGTATCCTTTTCTCAAATTAAGTAAGTCTCTGGAGTTACGAGCTTTATTTGGAGACATTTAATCCTCCAATCTGTTCAGTGACTATCTAGAGAAGTTTTGGTGGAACTTGCTGTCATTTTTTAATTAATTAATTATTTATTTATTTAAAGATTTTATTTATTTATTTGAGAGAGAGAGAATGAGAGAGCGCACATGAGAGGGGGGAGGGTCAGAGGGAGAAGCAGACTCCCTGCCGAGCAGGGAGCCCGATGCGGGACTCGATCCAGGGACTCCAGGATCATGACCTGAGCCGAAGGCAGTCGCTTAACCAACTGAGCCACCCAGGCACCCCATGCTGTCATTTTTTCTGACTGACACATTTGGCCATGATCATCCAGAAGTTCTTAACCAGCTTTGTTTTTCTGGAAGGAATCTATGTTTATTAGTCTCCTGAAGCTAGTAGCTTCCTTACCATGTTCTGTTAAGGCAAGTAAAACCTTACTTCCATATTCTACCAATAAACATGTATTTTGTGATTTTTAAGAAAAAAGAAATGGGTTGTCAATATCTAGGAGAAGACCTCGTTGGAAGTCACAAAGCCAATGAGTTACATGAGAGGATCTAGAAGTGAGATTTCCTGATTTATATTTCAGTGTTTTGTAAATAGTGACCCTCCCTCCCCCATTTATTACTATGGTTTTTGTTCTTTTGGGAAGATGTTTACTATCATTTCTAGAGTCATGATTGAGTCGGTGTTTCTAATGGCTTTTTTTTTTCCTTTCCCTTTCTATGATGAAGACCTAAAAAGTGAGTAGCTGCTTTAATTTTTTAATACCTTGTATTTTTCTGTTTTGAGCGTGAACATTATGGAATGTAAAAAAGTCCTAAGTTGTTCTGTTTTCTTAGATCCAAGTTAATCAAAGTGGAGAATTTCGAGGCCTACTTTAAGAAACAACAAGCGGACTCCAACTGTGGGTTTGCGGAAGAATATGAAGTACGTGATTGTAAATAATGTATTTTTAATTGCTTTACCTGTCTCCTGAAAGTTGGGAAACCACCCATTTTTGTTGCACGGGAAAAGCGCTGGGTGAGAGGCGGCGCTCTTAGAGGGGAGAGGAGCTCTTGTGTGTCCCCCAGGGGTCTCACTGTGGCCGTGTGGGCTGGGAGCACTTAGATGTACCTCTGTTGCTGGTGGTTTGTGTGTTTAATCTCATTGAGAAATGAAGATTATGCAGAGAGAGGGAGAGAAACTGGGCATTTCAGTCTGAGGCCTGTTAACTGGAGTAATTGGGCAGCTGTGGGGTCTGGCATGGGGGGCTGTGGCCCAGGTCCATTCCTGAGCATTATGTGAAGTGCTGTGGAAGGAGTTTCTGTGCTTCCGTCCCCGTGTGCTACCACCCCCACCTGCCTGGAGCCCCTCCCTCAGAACGGCCATGCATACTCACCATCCCCACGCTGCCCTGCTGCCCTCCCTGCCCTGCCCTGCTGCCCTCCCATGCTGCCCGCTGCCCTCCCTGCCCTGCTGCCCTCCCCATGCTGCCCTGCTGCCTTCCCTGCCCTGCCCTGCTGCCCTCCCCACACACCCTGCTGCCCTCCCTGCCCTGCTGCCCTCCCCATGCTGCCCGCTGCCCTCCCTGCCCTGCTGCCCTCCCCACACGCCCTGCTGCCCTCCCTGCCCTGCCCTGCTGCCCTCCTCATGCTGCCCTGCTGCCCTCCCTGCCCTGCTGCCCTCCCATGCTGCCCTGCTGCCCTCCCTGCCCTGCCCTGCTGCCCTCCCATGCTGCCCTGCTGCCCTCCCTGCCCTGCCCTGCTGCCCTCCCCATGCTGCCCTGCTGCCCTCCCTGCCCTGCCCTGCCGCCCTCCGCACACCTCTGCTACTGCTGTCTCTGCCTCGGTCGAATCTCCTCACCATTTGCATTAGCTTCCTATGGCTGCCATAACAAATCACCACAAACTGGTGGCCTAAAACAAAGGCTCTACTAAGTCCAAAGTCAGGCGTCAGCAGACCAGTGCTCCCTCCAGCTCTCGGTGGGGGGGACCCCTTCCTTGCCTCTTCCGACGTGGGTGGCTCCCGGTGTTCTGTGGCTTGGGGCTGCGTCTCCGCTCTGTGGCCTGCTCCTCCCCTCTGTGGCTCTCCTAGGGGTGTCTTGGGTGAGCACACTTGTTACTGGGTTTGAGACCCACCCACAGAATCGGGGATGACCTGTCTTCAAGATTCTCAACTTAAATCCATCTGCCAAGACTCTTTTCCAAAAGAAGCTCACAGCCACAGGTTGCGGGAGTTAGGACGTGGGCCTGCTTTTTTGGGGGCCGCCATTCAACCTACTCAAAGCACAGCTCAGGAGGACGTAAATTCTCTGTCTTTGGGTCTGTTTCATCTGTGACGTGTTGATTGTCACCGATATCCAGCATTTATTTAGTTCTGCCTCATTGTAACGTTAGTTATTTTCGCCTATGCCCCCCTCCCAGGTTGTAAGCTCCTTGAGGGCAAGGATTTCTTGCCGTCTATCCTTTCTCTTGCAGTTGAACCTCTGCGTTAGTTCCCATGGGCTGCCATCACAAAGCACCACAGACTGGGGGGCTTCGGGCAACAGAGAATTATCCTCTCACAGTTCTGGAAGCCAGTGGTCCAAAATCAAGGTGTTGGCAGGGCTGTGCCTTGTCCGGAGCCTCTAGGGGAGGATCCTGCCGGGCTTCGGCCAGCTTCTGGAAGCCCCAGGCATTCCTGACTTGTGGGAGCCTAACTCCTCTGCCTGCCTTCATCTCAGCATGGCCGGCTCCCCCCGTGTGTCTGTATCTTGGTGTCCCTTCTCCTCTTACAAGGACATCAGTCCTGTTGATGAAGGGCCCACCCTACTCCAGGATGACTTCATCTTCTTTTGATGACAGCTACAAAGACCAAAGTTCCCAACAAGGCTGCATTCCCAGGTCCCAGGGATTGGAACTTCAGCTTATCTTTTTGGTGGACACAGTTTAACCCCGAACACCTCTGCATTCCCACTTTGTTCTGTCATGCTCTGTGCTCAGTGTAAGTAATATCCGGGCACTAAATAAACAGATAACTCATTTGTTTTGTTTTCAGGATCTGAAGCTCGTTGGAATTAGTCTACCTAAATATGCGGCAGAACTGGCTGAGAATAGAGGAAAGAATCGCTATAATAATGTTCTGCCCTGTAAGTTGTTTTTTTCCACACAATCTTCCCTTTCCTCTGTCATTGGCCGCTGCACCTCTAACAGTGGAGGGGAGTGGGATCAAGATGCTGACTAGCCACGTCCACAGTCATTCCTGAGTCCCCTGCGGGGTGCTAAGCCCTGTATTGAGGCATATTGCATTGAATCCAGTCCTGAGGAGAACCTCATGAAGTAGGCAGTAGAATATTCGTTTTGCAGATGAGGAAAATGAGGCACAGGGTAGCTAGGTGATTGGTCCAGAGCCACCCAGATGGCCATGGCAGGCCAGGCTTTGGATTTGGTCTATCATTTCTTTCAGGGAAAGGGCCAGAGTCTGTGCTCTTATCCCCTCTATCTTAAAGCCCCTTATTTTAGCTAATATTGTTCCGGAAAGGAAGGGAGTAGGAGGAGGACAGGCAGGGAGGAACGCTTTCTGCTTGTCCAGATACATCTCTGGTGGGCTGATGAGTGCATTCCACAGCTAAATATGACTTGTATTTGACTTCACATATTGAGAAGTAACAATGTCTGCCTAATGGACGGGGATAACAACAAACTGGGTTTAAAATGAGAATTATTTATCACATCATCCATTGAGATGACATGTAAACCCTCCTCCACAGAAAGTTCTTTGTGGGTCTCTCTTTTGGGTGGGAATTAGGGCACGAAGAAGTTATCAATAGATTGCAGCTGTGTTCTGATTTTGCTGTAATTTATAGGCTCTGCTGATAATTTTTCCACGAGGACATTTAGAGACATTGTCTTTTTTCTTTGAAGCTGTGTTTTTCTTTTCCGGTCTAAAACATTAACTTCTGTTTAGATTCAGGATTTTTTAGCTTCTGCCTTCTTTCTCTTCATGCCCCCTACCATCCCTCCTTGTATTGACAGCAGACATTGACCCTTGTTCCAGGAAAAATGCTTTCAAAATCAGGCTGGTGGGATCTGCCTCAGCACTGCCCATCCACAGTTAACTCAGGATCATTGGCCTGTTCTTGTGAATGTTGCAGAGATTTTCAGATCCAGGGTTTGGGAAAGTTTTGGGCTGAAACTCATGTTGGTCACTGAGTTTAGAACTGTCGTGTTATTTTGTCCAGGGGAGGATGAGATGGTATGTAGTCAAAGACAGGGAAACGCAGGTGGTTCTGCTGATTTCTCCACCTGACATTTGAAATTCTAACCTTATTATTTCATTTCTTGAGTTGGGCAGGCTTGTGTGTGCATTTTTTTTTTTGTAGTGTTTATACGCAACTGATAAATTGTGTGTGCATTTTTAAGATGAAAGCACAAGGACTTTGTGTTTTAGATCTTCCCACCCATAGTAGTCTTACATATTCAGTTCATTCTTGAATTCAGTACTGTCTTTTTGTAATGACATTTTTATGAGAATAGAGAAAGTATACAAACCTTTCCCTCGTGGAAAGGGCACTAGATTTGAATTCTGAGTGCCCTTGACCAGACATCAGTGCTTCATCTCGCTGACCCTCAGTTTCCTCATTTGTAAAATGGACACAAAAGCTGGTAGGGTGGTTTTGAGGAATAAATAAAATTGCTCAGTGCATCCTGTGGCTCATGATACACACCCAAGGATGCTAACAGCAGTAGGCTGGTGTTGTCCAAGAAGGAGGTCTGGCATGATGAGGAGCTTGGCCCCTGGCTTCAGGCTGCCTGGGTTTGAATCCTGGCTCTGCTGCTGAGTAGCTCTGCTGGGTAATTGCCTGACTCCTCTGTGCCAGTCACTTGGGCTGACTCTAAGGGTCAAGGAAGGTCATCTCCGTAAAATGCTACGTGTCACACCTTCAGGATGTGACAGGAGCCCCTGTGTTGCCATTTTATACTTTTCTCTCTTGTATGTAACTCTCCTCACACAGTTGCTTCTAATGAGGACCTTTTTTCTCTCAATGCCATAGATGATATTTCCCGTGTCAAGCTTTCCGTCCAGACCCACTCAGCTGACGACTATGTCAATGCCAACTACATGCCCGTAAGTGGGAGAGATGAGCTCAGAGCACCGCTTGTTCGAATGAAATCTTCAGGGCTCCTCCTTGTGTCTTTGACACTGAATTTGGGTTGCTTTCCATTTTCTAGGGCTACCATTCCAAGAAAGATTTTATTGCCACACAAGGGCCTTTGCCCAACACTTTGAAAGATTTCTGGCGTATGGTTTGGGAGAAAAATGTATATGCCATTGTTATGTTGACCAAATGTGTCGAACAGGGAAGGGTAAGTATCTTTTATTTAAATTATGAAATAAAATTAATGCATTCATTTTGACTGTGGTGAAAGGGTATCTTAAGCACTTATCTTTTTATTTTTATTTATTTATATTTTTTATTTTTATTTTTTTTAAAGATTTTATTTATTTATTTGCGAGAGAGAGAATGAGAGACAGAGAGCACAAGAGGGAGGAGGGTCAGAGGGAGAAGCAGACTCCCTGCTGAGCAGGGAGCCCGATGCGGGACTCGATCCCGGGACTCCAGGATCATGACCTGAGCGGAAGGCAGTCGCCTAACCGACTGAGCCACCCAGGCGCCCAGCATTTATCTTTTTAAAGAAAACACTCCCCCAAAACACCAGCACCTCTATTCTTAAAAACTTGTTTTCTGTCTTTTTCTCCTCTAAGAGAAAAGTTTAAACATATCTTTTTTTTTTTTTTAAGTATTTTATCGTTACGTTCCTTTGTGGATAAACATCAATGTTCTCTATTCACGAGGTCACTGCTGCTAGAGTTACAAGTCGCGGGAGTGGGGTTAGCTCCTCGCAAAGCTCCTGGGGCTCCGGTTGTCTCAGTGCTGGGAATGGGGGCCCTTTGTGTCTCTAATCAGCCAGCATCTTCATCCGGGAGATGAGCGATTCGACTAGCTTGGTGATCAAACCTAATTTTTAGCACTGGAACCCTTCCTCTACCCCAGATCTCAGACTCCTCCCCAGATAAGTCTCCGCTCTCCCCTTTTAATATTCTTCATTTCACTTTAATTTAGCAGCTGTCTGTCCTGCCCCAAGGATGTGTAAGGTGCTGTGCTCGGCGCTGGGGCTGGGAGAGGGAAAGATAACAATGAGCAGTAACAGGTGGTTCCCGTCTTCACATGGCTTGTGATACAGAAGTTTGTGTTCTGCTTCACTTCCTTGCATCCAGTGAACAGGCTGTCTCGCAAACAAAAGAACTTTGTTTATGAATGCAAATAAACTTTATGGTGCCGTTGAGCCCAGGGCCTTGCCCATGGAACATTCTCATAGATATCCGTTAGACAGATGAAAATCATGTAGTTAAATTAATGGGGGAACACGAAGAAGATGAATTTAGATGGGTTGTTGTTTATCTTAAGGCAGGAGAGAAGTGGATTTACTGGCTCTGGGTGCAAAGGGAAGGGAGCCAGTGAATTTACTCCATTTATATTATTTCTTCCCTATGACAACGCTCCTCTATAATTATTGGATAGATGGGGAAACAGAGCCTCAGAGAGTTTAAGAACTTGCCCACAAGGTAGCAACAGACACCCAGCTGGGAAGAGGCTGAGCTGAGAGCATCAGCTCCATGTCATCGTGTCTCCAAGTCCTGTGTTCTTTCTGGAAGCAGTGGTCTAGAAACTGGGATCTTTTTTAACAAATACGCGTCCCCAGCTAGACTCACAAGCTCTGGAGGTGGGGTCCGGGCATCTGTTTTCAAAGCAAAACAGACCTCCCAGGGGTGAGTCCGATAATCAGGTTTGGAAGCCACCCGCAGTGAGCACGCTTCGGAAAAGGGGGGAGGAGGGGGGAAAACGTGTGTGTGTGTGTGTGTGTGTGTATTAAGTCGTTGGCCAAATCAGGGATTCAGATATTCTTGGAGAGCGGATGTTTCCTGATTTTTATTTCTGTTTACATCTGCCCACCGATTTATAGAAATCAAAGACCCGGAGTGATTTAATTTGATTCTCTTTATTGGTGTCTGTGTTTGTATTGTAATTAGTGTGGGTCTAAAAGTATCGGGGAAAGTCCTCATTTCTTCTAGCTGCATGGGGTTATGGGTCAGTCTGAATTTAGTTCGGTGGACAGTTGTGCGCTGGCTGCTGTCGGGGCCAAAGGGAGCTGGCTGGGACTGTGTCCTCAGAGAAGGGACAGTGGCTCTTCTGCTCTAAATCCATTTTCATGCAGAAATGGGGGCTCAGGGTGGGCTAGCTCTTCTGAGTTCTCAAGAGAAGCCAGAAATCTGGATTTTTATGAGAAACCTCCCAATCTTAAAAGAGTTGGCAATAATTCTGAATTAAAAAAACAATCTTTGGAGTCAAACAGAACCCAACTAAAGGGCCCACCCAGCCTCTGACACCAGTTTTCAATATCCGGTTTCCCTTGGGAGGCTTTAGTGATGGCAGACGGTGCGACCTGACTTTTTATATAAAAATGCAATTTTATTCTAGACCAAATGTGAGGAGTACTGGCCCTCCAAGCAGGCTCAGGACTATGGGGACATAACGGTGGCAATGACATCAGAAGTTGTTCTTCCAGAGTGGACCATCAGAGACTTCACGGTGAAAAATGTAAGTAAGAGGCCAGATGGATAGGTCTCAGATAAGAGGACCATATATTAGTTTGGGGGTGATATTTTTAGGTTGATATTAACCAGTATTTTTTTTATGCATCAAAAAATACTTTTGCTCTCTTTTTACAAAATGAAACTATCTACATACACTCTAAAGCAACCCTTACCTTTACTTTTTTCTTTTTTTTTAAATACGTGTTTTTTTAATTTATTTTAAAGATTTCTATTTCTTTATTTTATAGAGAGAGTGAGAGAGCACAAGCAGGGGGTGCAGTAGAAGGAAAGGGAGAAGCAGGCTCCCCACTGAGCAGGGAGCCCGATGCGGGGCTCGATCTCAGGACCCCGGGATCATGACCCAAGCTGAAGACAGACGCTTAACCATCTGAGCCACCCAGGCGCCCCTTAGCTTTACTTTCTTAAGAGGAAGTTCATGTTATTTATTTTTTTTCCTCATTAAAGTGTAGTTGACATATAATATTATGTTAGTTTCAGGCGTACAACATAGTGACCCAACAATTACATACTTTACGCGGTGCTCACTGTGGTAAGTGTAGTCACCATCTGTCACCATACAATGTCATGACTACATTATTGACTCTATTCCCTACGCTGTACCCTTCATCCCTGGGACTTATATATTTTGTAAGTGGGAGTTTGTACATCTTAGTCCCCTTCACCTCTTTCGCCCATCCCCCGACCCACTTCCCCTCTGGCAACCACCAGCTTGTGCTCTGTTTTTATCAGTCTGGTGTTTTGTTTTGTTTTGTTTTGTTTTTGTTTTTGTTAATCGCACGTTATTCCTGAATGAGATGAATCTTGGGAGCATGGTTCAGCTGCAGCAACCGTTAACTTCCACTTTCAGGGGACTTGTTTATAGAGTTTTTTTTTAATTTTCTTTTTTTTTTTATTCTTATGTTAATCCTATAGAGTTTTTGTTATAAACGGAGGCCCTTTTGGATTATTTGGTTGCAGATCTGACATTAGGAGTGGCAATTTGCAGTTGGGAGCAGTTTATGAGAGTAGTTACATTAATAGGATTTCTGGACATATACGCATGGCCTCACCCCCCAAAAGTTCTGAAAAAAAAAAAAAAATCCAATTACCTGATGTAGGCACTGCAGGAAGACAGATTATGTGTCCTTTTTTTTTTTTTTTTTAAAGATTTTATTTATTTGAGAGAGAGAGAGAATGAGAGACAGAGAGCATGAGAGGGAGGAGGGTCAGAGGGAGAAGCAGACTCCCCGCCAAGCAGGGAGCCCGATACGGGACTCGATCCCGGGACTCCAGGATCATGACCTGAGCTGAAGGCAGCCGCCTAACCAACTGAGCCACCCAGGCGCCCTATGTGTCCTTTTTCTTAAGGGTGTTTAGAAATAGAGGCAATGAAGCTACATTGATATCTTTTGGTGGGCATGTAAATTGGTATAACCCTTTGCTGTTTATATCAAAAATATAAAAATGACCATTCTCGTTTGATCTGGTGGTTCCACGTTTGAGAGTCTGTCCTAAAGAAATAATCTGAAATATAGGACAAGACTTACTATTCACAAAGAGGAATCTCAGCATTATTTATAATGGAGGGAAGATTTGGGGCCCGTTCAAATATCTAGCTTTCGGAGAATAGATAACTAAACTATAGGTTATCTAGTCAGTGTATCATTATTTAGCTATTAGAAGTGATGGCTGCGTAGAATGCGTAATTACCAAGGGGAGACATGAGATTGCAATTAAGTGAAACATACCAGGAGACAAAATTTTATGCATATTGCGAATAATGCACCAAAGAAAAGCCTGGGAGTAGATTCAATGGAGTTGACTTTTATGGGGGGTTGGTGGGTTAGGTTCTCATTTACAAGAATGATCCTTGAGGAGTCCATAAGTTATGGATACAGGATAGTATATTAAGTGTTAATTCTTTACTGATTGCTGTCTCAGAGGTCCTGGCTTCAATTAATATTTCAATTCCTCCCCTGGAGGTACTGTGAAAGCTGTTAACACACACTGATGCAGTTACAGTGCTTGAGAAACCCTCAAAATATGCTTATTTCTATAGATTTCACCCATTTTAAACAGACCGGATTATCCTCAGTTGCTTTCAGTGCTTGGGGAGGGGAATCCCCTTGCGGGAGGGGGGATCGTGGGTGGATTTGTCCACATCATTTAAACAAAATTACCACGATGTTATCATTTTTTTTTTTTAAAGATTTTATTTATTTATTTGAGAGAGAGAGAATGAGAGAGAGCACATGAGAGGAGGGAGGGTCAGAGGGAGAAGCAGACCCCCCGCTGAGCAGGGAGCCCGATGTGGGACTCGATCCCGGGACTCCAGGATCATGACCTGAGCCGAAGGCAGTCGCTTAACCAACTGAGCCACCCAGGCGCCCCGATGTTATCATTTTTGTTAACTAAACTCCAGACTTCGTTTGGATTTCACATTTTCCACTAAAGCCCTTTCCTGTTCCAGAATCGAATGATTCCAGGATACCACATGGCATTTAGTAAAATACTACTTTTTTCCCCCCTAAGACTCCTTTTTAATTACACAGGATGCATGAATATATTTTCCTTTTTAAAAGTGGGAACACAGGGGCGCCTGGGTGGCTCAGTCGTTAAGCGTCTTCCTTTGGCTCAGGTCATGATCCCAGGGTCCTGGGATTGAGCCCTGCATCGGGCTCCCTGTTCCGCAGGAAGCCTGCTTCTCCCTCTCCCATTCCCCGTGCTCGTGTTCCCTCTCCTACTGTGTCTCTCTCTGGCAAATAAATAAAATCTTTTTTTTAATATTTAATTTTTTATTGTTATGTTAATCACCATACATTACATCATTAGTTTTCGATGTAGTGTTCCATGATTCATTGTTTGTGCATAACACCCAGTGCTCCATGCAGAATGTGCCCTCTTTAATACCCATCACCAGGCTAACCCATCCTCCCACCCCCCTCCCCTCTAGAACCCTCAGTTTGTTTTTCAGAGTCCATCGTCTCTCATGGTTCGTCTCCCCCTCCGATTTCCCCCCCTTCATTCTTCCCCTCCTGCTATCGTCTTTTTTTTTTCCTTAACATATATTGCATTATTTGTTTCAGAGGTACAGATCTATGATTCAACAGTCTTGCACAATTCACAGAGCTCACCATAGCACATACCCTCCCCAGTGTCTATCACCCAGCCGCCCCATCCCTCCCACCCCCCACCACTCCAGCAACCCTCAGTTTGTTTCCTGAGATTAAGAATTCCTCGTATCAGTGAGGTCATATGATACATGTCTTTCTCTGATTGACTAAATAAATAAAATCTTTAAAAAAAGAAAAAAGTGGGAACTTCCACAGCAGATAGAACTAAAAGTTTCTTTTGACTGTCACCCCTAACCTGAGCCCCCTGGCCCCTCTACAGAGATAATGCTGAAAAGTCTGACCTCCCCCTACCCCTGCCTGTCCGCTCATCTCACACAGCTGCTTTCCTTCTTTGGATGAATACTTTTGGTTAAATTTGTGAATGTCACCTTTGTGTGTATGAAATTTCACAGTACCCGCTCCCTCACTCTGCCTTTTCTCTCTACTCTTTTCCATATTTTGAACAGTGTGAATGCACTGCTTTTGTAATGTATATATGTTAAAAAAATAAGCCTCAAAAGGTGGCTTTCATAAAGGAGATAGAAATGCCTACAGTCTAGCTGTAGGTGTGAGGCTGAAGTCAGTGTCCAGGGCTGGGCATAATGAGCACAGCTGAAATGGGACAGGAATGGTCCAGCCTGGGTGGTACCTGTTTTGGTCTGTGGTAGGAAACAGTCTGTATCATAACTCTGTTACAACAAGATCCACTTTCTATTGTCTGTCTCATGTTGAAATAGATTTTTTTTTTTAAGATTTTATTTATTTATCAGAGAGACACAGCGAGAGAGGGAACACCAGCAAGGGGAGCCGGAGAGGGAGAAGCAGGCTTCCCAATAAGCTGGGAGCCCGATGCGGAGCTCCATCCCAGGACCCCAGGATTATGACCTGAGCCGAAGGCAGACGCTTAATGACTGAGCCACCCAGGCGCCCATAGATGTGTGTTTTTTTTTTTTAATGGGGGGTGTTCCTTTTCTCAGACTCCTGCAATTCTGAATACTTACTTAGTGCTCACAAGTTATCTGCTGCTTCATGAGACTCTCCGGAAGGCATGTGGATTGTGAGGCAGCTCTTTCCCCAAAGGCTCTTATGATCAGAGCTGTATCGGTGTAATTCATTTTTGGTGTTTTGGTTGATGACATTCCCAGGTGGGCTTAGGGATGGGCTTCCTGAAGCTCTAAGGAGGTGTAGCTCTAAGACTGTGAGTACATGACTGGCAGACACCTGTAGTAGGTAGGAAAGGAAGGTCTGAACTCAGGGTCAGAGGACGAAGCACTTGTGCTGTGTCTGAGCTCAGTGTGGGGGAGTCGCTTCCCTTTTCGGAATCTTTAGAGGAGGATAAAAACCCCTCCTCCTTGGGCATCTTGTGGGATTGGATGAGCACGTCACAGTCTGGGCAAGCACTTTACCAGCTGTTGTACCAATGTGAAGTTGCAATTCTTAGTTGTAACCACTCCTGTTCAGCCACCTGTCAGCCGTCCCGCGCAGCTCAGCATCCAGGGACGGCTCCATTTCACTTGGCCTTTTCGGACGCTCACCTCTTTTCTTGGCTTTTAGATCCAGACAAGTGAGAGTCACCTTCTGCGACAGTTCCATTTCACCTCCTGGCCGGACCACGGTGTTCCTGACACCACTGACCTGCTCATCAACTTTCGGTACCTTGTTCGTGACTACATGAAGCAGAGTCCTCCTGAGTCACCCATTCTGGTTCATTGCAGGTATGCAGATGGCACTCCGCGTGTGACATTTCAAATGTCCCATTAGAAAAGGAAGGCATACAAGGGAATGCAGTAGGTGTTTGCAAATTCAAGAAGGGTTTGGATAAGGGACCAGGGACTGGAACAGGGGTTGGCAAACTATAATCCATGGGCCAGATCTGGTAGATTGCCTCTATTTTTTTAAAAACTACAATGTATTGTAATTTATTTCTTATTTATAACATTTTCTACTAAAATATTTCAACCTTACAAAAATAGAGAGTAATAATCTAATAAAGTATAACGTGAGGTCATGTATTTTTTTTGTTAATAAGATCTTACAGATATAAAGCCTCTCCTTATCAGTCTCCTTCTTACACAGTTAAACGTGGTCCTAAAGTGGATCTGAATCATTCCTTTGCGTGCTTTTGTATTTTATTTCATATATATATCTATGGGTTTTATATAGCTTTAAACTTTTACCATATTTTATGATATATACATCATTCTGCAACCTCCTTTCTTCATTCAGCATTTTGGTTTGTTACTTAACAAAGTTGGAACACATAGTTCTAATTCATTTTATTTATTTATTAATGAATATTTTTTGGCATACAAAAACTGCATATAAATTAATGTATACAAGTTCATGAGTTTGGAGGTATATACTCCTGTGAAACCATCACCACAAGCTCTTTGGCTGCCTGTTTTTGTAAATAAAGTTTTATTGGAACAGAGCCATACTCATTTGTTTATGTATTGTCTATAGTTACTTTCATGCTATAATGGCAGGAAGAGACCATTTTGTCTGCAAAGCCAAAGATATTTATTATCTGATCCTTTACAGAAAAAGTTTACCCTCCCCCCGAGAACAATAAGACACTAGCTTTTAAGCTAAAGAAATTAATTTAGGACAGAAGAAAAGAGAGGCTTTGTTGTCCTGTGGGGAATAAGTTGATGAAACTTGCCATCCTAGGTTATTATGGTAACTTGAACGAAACTGAGATTCAAGAAGCTCTAGCAACATGTTTTATTTGTGGCATTTGACTCAAAATGAACTTTAGGGTTTGGGTCCCAATCCCAAGCTAATGCCTTCCGACTTGCCAAGATTTCAGTTGAGCAAATGTTTAACGATCCTGGGCGTTGATAGTGGGGGAGAGCAAGATACATGTACAGTGGGGACATTTGAGAGTTTTACATTAGAGTAACCCATGGTGATGTGCTCATTTCTTTTTCTCTTCAGTGCTGGGGTTGGAAGGACAGGCACGTTCATTGCCATTGATCGTCTTATCTACCAGATAGAGAATGAGAACACGGTGGATGTGTATGGGATTGTGTATGACCTTCGAATGCACAGGCCTTTAATGGTGCAAACAGAGGTGAGGCCAAGCTCTGTGTTTGGCAGGCTGCTTTTCCAGTCCGTTTTTAAAACGTTGCATCATGTCACATACTTGAGTTAAAAGATTTCACCCTTCTACATCTTTCTGGCTCTGGGCTGTGAAGTAACACTGATTTCTTTAACATCCTTAACTGATGTGTGATTGAATGATCTGATCTAGCGAGATGGTGGCAACTGATACCAGCAACGGAATAGTACAAACCATGATAATATCAGGACTCCCTACCTTGAGGTTACTAACTCATCAAATAATCTGAACTTGGCTTCTGGGTTTTAAACTCATAAAGCTGGTATTATCATGCTTTGTTTCTAAGAAGGTCTGACCATCCTTAAAATAAGCTCATGAATGGACTCTTCAGATGTTAACGATGTGAATGAAATGGCGTAATGTTGCTGTGTTAATAGGCTGTTTATCCTCACCCAGCCGAGCAAATATTACACAACGTCAATTATCATAGCTATAGGGGGGGCTGGCCAATTGAGACGATGAATGCTTAATATCTACAGTGTCAGTTGGGTAAGACTGTTGGATTCGGCTTTCCCCGAAATGTTCTGAAAAACATTGTTTTCGAGTCATGTTCTCAACAATATATTGGGAAATAGCTTTCCTCGATACTGTAGGGGTGAATGTGCCTTGACTGGGATGAGAGCAGAATATTAATTTTGTATCAGGCTGTCTCCCCGTACCAATTTAGAACTCCATGAATATGGGCTCTGTTTTTGAGTCTAGCAGGGAATGTTCTGGAGGCCTGGGTACATTGTGTGCTTTGGGGTGAGCGGCTCGGTTGTGGTAGAAAGAATGGAATTCACCTCTTTGTTGGTCAGAAGAGAGATTTTCTTTTTTCTGCTATAATTATGTAGAGTAGGACTCAGTCTTTTATCCCCTTTTGAGAAACACAGAAATCTTATACCTGCCTACAAATTCTTTTCTTGTTCCTTTTCTTTTGTAGTTTGAAAATAATGTAAACTTGTTTATCTTTTTATTTTTTATTTTTAAAAATTTTTTGAGAGAGAGAGAGCATGTGTGTGTGAGCAGGTGTTGGGGGGGGGAATAGGGGGAGGGGCAGAGAGAGAATCTTAAGCAGGCTCCATGCCCCCAGTGTGGAGCCCCATGCAGGGTAGAGATCATGACCTGAGCTGAAATCAAGAGTCAAATGCTTAACCAACTGAGCCTCCCAGGGACCCTGTAAACTTGTTCATCTTAAAACATCTAACAAAACAGGATTATATGGAATATATTTTTCTCTATTACTTTTTCTTCCCCAATCCTACTCCCTAGAGGTAGCCAATGCTTACAGTTTGTATATATCATTATAGGTTTGTTTTTTTTTTTAAATAATATTTCTTTTTTTTTTTTAAGATTTTATTCATTTATTTGTCAGAGATTGAGAGAGCACAAGCAGGGGAAGTGGCAGGCAGAGGGAGAAGCAGGCTCCCTGCTGAGCAAGGAGCCCGATGAGGGACTGCGGTTCATGACCTGAGATCATGACCTGAGCCGAAGGCAGACGCTTAACTGACTGAGCCACCTAGGCGCCCCTCATTATAGGTTTCTTTATGTACATCTGTAGAAAATACATGTGTACACACACAGTATATATATATATATATATATATATATATGTATATTTATGGCTAGTACAGTTGACACACAATGTTACTTTAGTTTCAGGGGTACAACATAGTGATTCCACAAGTCTGCATGATAAGTTATGCTCACCACGAGTGTAGCTACCATCTCTTACTATACAACGCTATTACAATACCATTGATTATATTCTCTATGCTGTACCTTTTACCCCCTTGGCTTATTCATCCCATAACTAGAAGCCTGTACCTCCCACTCCCCTCCCCCATTTTGCCCATCTCCCCCCCATGGCATTCACCAGTTCTCTGTATTTATAGGTTTGTTTCTGCCTTTCATTTGTTTGTTTCAATTTTTAGATTCTACGTTTAAGTGAAATCTTATGATATTTGTCTTTCTCTGTCTGACTTACTTCACTTAGCATAATACCCTTTAGATCCATCCATGTTGTCACAAATGGCAAGATTTCATTCTTTTTTATGGCTGAGTAATATTCCATTGTAGATCTATACCACATCTTCTTTATCCATTCATCTGTCAGTGGATGCTTAGGTTGCTTCCATATATTGGCTACTGTAAATAATACTGCAGTAAACATAGGGGTGCATCTATCTTTTTCAATTAGTGTTTTTGTTTTCTTTGGGTAAATACCCAGTAGTGGAATTACTGGGTCATAATGGTATTTCTATTTTTAATTTTTTTGAGGAACCTCCATACTGTTTTCCACAGTGACTGCACCAATTTACATTTCCACCAACAGTGTACGAGTGTTCCCTTTTCTCCACATCCTTGCCAACACTTGTTGTTTTTTGTCTTTTTTTTTTTTTCCTGCCATTGTGACAGGTGAGAGGTGATATCTTATTGTGGTTTTGATTGCATTTCCCTGATGATGAGCGATATTGAGCATCTTTTCATGGGTCTGTTGGCCATCTGTGTATCTTCTTTGGAAAAATGTCTATTCAGGTCCTCTGCCCAATTTCTAATCAGATTGTTTTTTCTTTTTGATGTTGAATTGTATAGGTTCTTTATATATTTTAGATATTAACACAGAGTATTTTTAAAAAATTGGATCCTGTTTTATATGTAATGCTGCACTGTGATTTTTTTTTTCTCTTAAAGCATCATGGATATCTTTGTATCAGCATATACCTCTTCTTCCTCTTCCTCTTTTTAATGGCTACCTGCAGATTCTGACAAGCTTGCCTGAGGGTTGTCCGCACCTAACTCTACCCCGCTTATCCCCCTTAACCCGTCCCCTCTGTTGAGAATCACAGTTTACTCCTTATACCGCACATGCTCGCTGACCAAGTAATTCTTGTTGGACTTTTTCTTGTTTGAATATACACGTGCATTATTTCCTCCACATTCATTCTTTGCTCTTTCCCAAGATTCTGGGGCTCCTCCTTGGGGAGGGGAAGTGTGGGGAGTGTGTCCCTCTGGTTAAGAATGATTGATGATGAGAATCTTGCTCTCTGTGGTTTCAGATTTCACCAGAATGTGGCGGCCTCTTGATAAACGTCAACTTGAACTGTTCACTGGGGGGTCGATGGGTTTGGGGGAATGGTGGTAATCTGAAAATAGCCTTGGGTGCTAATAATCTCTGGGACTGCTGATCATTTGCTTTCTCCTTTTACTCTTCTACAGGACCAGTATGTTTTCCTCAACCAGTGTGTTTTGGATATTATCAGATCCCAGAAGGACTCAAAAGTAGATCTCATCTACCAGAACACAACCGCAATGACAATCTATGAAAACCTTGCACCCATGACTGCGTTTGGAAAGACAAATGGTTATATCGCCTAATTCCAAAGTCAGACATTTCTGGAGTTACCCAGACCGTCACACCCACAGCAAAGGAAAATGCCCCGATGTGGACATGTTTTTATATGTCTAATATCTTAATTCTTTGTTCTGTTTTGTTAGAACTAATTTGAGGGTGTGAGGTTGCACATGTACGACATGACAGATGAGAAGTTGGGGCTGTCAGGGGCTGTGGATAGGTGGTGAGCTAATCAATGACATTCCTGATCACCAATGGGATGAGTTCACTTTTTGTTTTGTTTTTTTTTTTTTTCTCTAGAGAATTACGGAACACCAGGAAAAGCGAGCTATGATTTTTTTTTTCTTTTTCAAAACAGATTCTTTTTAAAAAAGACTATTTTATATGATTCACATGCTAAAGCCAGGATTGTGTTGGGTTGAATATATTTTAAGTATCAGAGGTCTATTTTTACCTACTGTATCTTGGAACCTAGCTGATGGAAAATACATAATTGTGGATGATTATCATGTAGGGAGGGGTACGTGGTGCCTCTTCTGCCTGGGTTTTCTATTTGAACATGTGCCTTTTCTGAATTATGCTTCCACAGGCGAAACTCAGTAGATATCTCTATTTTTGTATTGAATCTCATAATTGGAATATACGGAATATTTAAACAGTAGTTTAGTATCCAAGATTCAGCCTTCTCAGTAACATTCCTGTTCTCATTTGACTAGAGGAGGCTTCCCTCTCCCCCTCTACTTCTCCTCTCCCCTGTTTTGTGCTCTATTCTTTCTTCCCTTTTCCCCTTCCCTTTTCCCCAAAGACACTTCTGTTGGCCACATTTTCAGCCCATTGGTTGAGTGAGAGTGGAAACCAGGTATCACCTTGAGAATTTCTGGGGGGGTGGGGAGGGAAGCAGAGGAACTCTACAGTGACATAATCTCCTTTTTCTTGTCCCTGTTCTATCCTTTTTCTTGTTTCTGTATTTGGTAAGAAGGATTATTTAAAGGTGCAATATGTGACTTAGTGATTCATGATGCTCTAGGTTTTTAGTGATGTTTTACTCAGGTTGGCATTTTATGTGTGTCCACGTGTCCGTGTATATGTGGGTGTGTCTGTTTAAAAGCGTGGCAATCTGTGAACACTTCCGTGTGAAAACAGTGTCTGATTAATCCCTCCTCCCTCAGAGTCCACTGGCTTTAGTCTATCTGCAGTGACACACATCCGTATCTACTGTATATATATATACTAAACTCTTAAAACAGTCATTCCTTTGAATTGAGGTGTACAAAGTTTGAATTTGTATCAAAGATGTAATTATTTTTAAAACCTCTTTTCACTATACTGCTGCTGTAATTACTTTTGATTTTTTTTAATGTAGATTAATTTTTTTTTTTTTTTTTTTTTGCTTCAGGTGTTGTATCCACCAAGAATTTCAGAATTTACGTGGATTTATTTTATTGGTACATAATCTGTAAACTTCTCAAGGCATTAACATGAAAGGATTTGTTTCTTTTTATTTTATATTGTGGCTCAGGTTATATTTTGAAGAAGTTTTGTGTTTATCCTCCTATAGGCAACGAAGTATATAAGGTCTTATGAAGGAATTACCAAGTCCCTGGAATCCTGTGGCCATTTTCCACAGTAATAAATCCTGCTGTAAACTTAGGACCATTGTGTCCGAGTGAAAACGGGAGCGGGGTCTTCTCCGAGTGCCCTGGTCACCGTTGACCTGGGGGAGCCCGTCTCCTGACCCTGCCATGTTCCTCACTCTGACACTTTGAGAGCTGACTGGACATGCTAGTGGGTTATGAAGGGTGAACCACAACCGAAAGCCCTTGATTCAGTTCGGAGGTTTAGCGCGTGTACGTCTTTTGTCCCCCTTTTCCCTTTGAGGTACTGAAAGGATTAAAAGGAGAGGTGGTGACGGTGTCGCGTCTGGGGAGAACTTCCTTCCCACAGAGAAATTGCACTTTTTGCCGAATCCTTTGCTCTCTTTCGTGGCAAGCAGTTCATTCAGCATCGGGCCCTTAAAGGAATGGGTGGTACAGGCCTGGGCGGGCCCTCTGGACTCGACTTCAGAGGGGGCCTTCGGCTCTTGAGGTCTGCATCAGGGAAGCCATGCTGCTGAGTGATGCCAGGTTTGGGTGGATGGCTTCCAAACCTTCACACTGGTCTGCCCCTTGACGCACGCAGATCTCGGAGAGTTCCCTGACTGCATCGAGAGGCCCCTGCCCCGGGCAGAAGTGCTGTGGGCCATACCCCTCTCTGCTTCAGTTGTCAGGAAGTCAGTGGGATGGGTGTGTGGGTGTCAAGTCCAACAGAGATGGTCTGCCCAGCCCTGCCTACATCCCTGCCATGGAGAAATCAGAGGGAAGGACTTGGCTCTAAAAATTCCTTTTAAAGGTTAAAGCAACAGTAATTGTAAACCTATTGTATAAAAACACACACAAAAAACCAGAAACCCTCCTCCCTTCTGCCTGATACGGGTTTGGGAAATGGGCAGCAGCCCTAGCAAGCCACTCTCAGATGTCATTCCCAATCCTGGGAAGGCGGCTTGTGGTGGACAGGTCTGGATTCCACATGGCAGGTCAGACGAAGGTCACGAAGCTTCTTTGCATCCTGAAGAGGGCTGGATTTGGGGCCGCTGGGGGGTGGTGAGGGTATTTATAGCACAGTGATTGAAAAGGGAAGATAATTTGTGTAAATATAAAGGACACATGGGCGGGGGGTTGGCCACAGAAAAGAGAAGGGGCTTTTGAGCTCCTGTCCCAAAGCCTCCCAGGAACAGTGAACTAAAGTTGTGGAGTCCAGTGGAATCACGGAGATGGTGTGATCATCCCTGCTTTAATATTTGCCAGTTGCACACAGAAAAACAGCAAGGGTGGGATGAGTTATCCGTGAAAGATTGATGGTCAGTTGGTTTGGGGGATTTGGGTCATTGCTACCTTCTCCCAAGAGCAAGGACGTTTGCCTCCAGAGGTAAACCTGGTGACACAGGGACCAGTGGAAAATGACATTTGGGGGTCTGTTCCCCTTGGGCACGTAGTGACCTCTGCCTGGACTTTGGCACATTTGACTGCACTGGATTTGGGCTTCATCGAGTCAGAGGCTCCTGGGGGATGGGGGCCAAATATGCAGCTGATCCATGTTTGCTTTTCATCTGAGATGAAAAAACCTGGTTTTCTTTTGCAGTGCTGGGTTGTGCTTATTGAGCTAAATGAGTCTTGGCGACTGATGTTGATTTGCCTCAAAAGTCCAAGTTCTGAGTTTTCAGACTGTGTAGCCGTCAAGTGTTCGACATACTGTAGCTTTTTTCCCTTGGGGGCACATATGAACAGGATGTGTTGATACAGACTCAAACTGTAATTTTCTTGTAACTATTTTGGAATGATGCATATTTCTAATGTTTGTTATACTTGTACAGAGTATTGCTGTTGGTTGCTTTTTTTTTTTTAAGGAAAAAAATGGCCTGAAAAAAATTTTTTTAAAAAGACTCACAAATACCAAATATAAAAAATGTCAACACATTGTGCCTTTGTTTCTTTTTTCCCCCACTTTTTACTTGATGGACACAGCATATCATTTACGAAGCAGTGTCCTGGCCGGCATGTAACTGGGGCATCTTTAACAACAACGTGTCCCTTTTGGGTTTTCTACCTTGTCTTTGTTTGCGGGGCTGCCACAACAAAGTGCCACAGACCAGGAAGCTGGAACAACTGAACCTTACTCTCTCACAGTTTTGGAGGCCCGAAGTCCAAGATCAAGGTGCTGGCGGGCTGGTTTCTTCTGAGGCCTCTCTCCCTGGTTTGCAGATAGCTACCCTCTCCCTTTGTCCTCACACGGTCTTCCTCTATGTGGGTCTGTGTCCTAATCTCTTTTTATCTGGATACCAGTCATAAAGAATTAAGGCGTCCCTCCCCCCATGACAATGTTTACTGTACTCACCTCTTTAAAGACCGTATCTCCAAATACATTCTGAGGTACTGGGGCTAGGAGTTTAACATATGAACTTTGGGGAGACATAATTCAGCCCAAAACACACATCCAGGGAGACTACGTGAAGAGGAGACTTGGAAGAAGTGAGTGTACTTCTAAGATGTGGCTGTGTACGCACCCAGAGGGTCAGACACCCCCCTTCCGCCACTTGGTGGTAGCACGCATGCCGCAGGCAAGTCCCCAGGAGTTCTAGAGGATTTTTTTGTGATTGATTTGGGGAATCCCAGAACTGCTGGGATACTGTAGCAGTTTGGACAGTTTTTTTTTTTTTTTAAAGATTTTATTTATTTTTATTGGAGAGAGAGAGAATGAGAGAGAGGGAGTACATGAGAGGGGGGAGGGTCAGAGGGAGAAGCCGACTCCCCACTGAGCAGGGAGCCCGATGCGGGACTCGATCCCAGAACTCCAGGATCATGACCTGAGCCGAAGGCAGTCGCTTAACCGACTGAGCCACCCAGGCGCCCCAGTTTGGACAGTTTTTGTTTCCAGTGTCTACCATGCACCTGCCACTGTATCTCAGTGGTTGAGGGTTCCACCGTGAACAAAAGGGACAAAAAGCTTTGCCCTCATGAAGCTGATATTCTGATGGGGGAAACAGACCAGAAACGTAAGTAAGTAAAATCTTTCGTGTGTTAGGTGGTAAAAATAGAAAGAAAACAGCATTTCATGCCCTGATGCACCAACTCGTAGCTTTCACACGATAATAAGCACTGCACACACCTGTGCCGAGGAGGAAATTTTCATGCCACGTGCGCCTGCTGTGGGGAGGACAGAGACTGTTCAGAGAGCCTCAGTGCACGCCCGGCAGGCCCACCAGCGGGAGAAAGACGAATGAAAGACGAATGTATGCGGCAGAAGTCCTCCCGCAAGGGGGCGGGGCCTGTGTGCAGGGGGCGGGGCCTGTGTGCAGGGGGCGGGGCCTGTGTGCCGCAAACACAAAAGGGAACTCACTGACCTGCCCGAGCAGGTTTAAAGGCACAGCTAAGAGGGATTCCAGGAGAATGAGGGGTGCTGGTTTCTGAGCTGCGTCTTCAGTGGAGTTTTCGGAATTTTCGCAGGAGGCGATGGGGGTGGTTGGGGCGTGAAAGCACAGGAGTTACCCGGGGAAAGTGTCAGGGAGGCCGGAGTGCCAGCATGGGAGGGTGAGCTCACCTGGCGGCGGTGGGTGAACCTGGAAGGGAAGAGCTCCAGGACTCTGTGTGGTTGCCCGAAACTGTCTCACTCCAGACACTTACACATAAGTAACCACATGCATGGGACGCCTGGGTGGCTCAGTCCGTTAAGTGTCTGCCTTCGGCTCAGGTCATGATCTCCGGGTCCTGGGATGGAGTCCAACATGGGGCTCCCTGCTCAGCGGGGAGTCTGCTTCTCCCTCTCCCACCCCCCTGCTTGTGCTCTCTCTCTCTGACAAATAAAATCTTTTAAAAAAAATTAAGTAACCACATGCACACACAGGCACATAACTTACCTTCACTATCTCTGGATGGAAACTGCATGGTGGTCACATGGCGTCACATGGGCTGGAAGGAAGGGTCCTGCCAGACGCTTGGCAGGTAAATAGGACTGAAGTCCTATGAATGTGAGTCAGGGGTAGAATTTACCACACAGGATGGGGCACATACAGCCCTTGAGACAGGCCCCCTCCCCCCCCCCACCAGGTCCCACGAGGTTCTCAGCAATTGTTGGTACTGATGGCGGGGGGTGGGGGGGTTCTTCCAGGACCTTGTCTTGCCCATGATGTGCTCTGTCTCTCCCTCACTCCCCATCCTCCTCACCTCTCCCAACTATCTGGAGACTACCGCTAAACACCTGGCCTGCTTGTCAAGTGCAACATAACCAGTAACAGTTCCAGCACATTCCTGAGCTGTTTACTGTGAAACGCAACATGAACGAAGGTCAGTTTTCCAGGCGTGGTACCGCTGGTGTGTCCAGGTCCGCCCAAGGCCACAGCTGTAATTACTTTTCTCATTAGGCAAAAAACACAGATCTGGAGCATATTGCAATTTAATTATTCCTGGTTGAAGCTAGAATGTATTTTGCCTTAAAAAAAGATGCTTCCAGATGGCTGTATGTTGGGCTAAAGAACTGTGCAGGTCCCAGTTTGGAGGCCTGAGCTTTAGTTCTTCCCCTCCCCAAATGACTGAGTGGAAATCACAGACCTTCCTGCTTTTGATAAGCATCAGGTGGCAGAAAGCTGAAATTTGCCTGGAGTGTCCGGAGTCGAGTATCTGGGGCTTGCTGAAAACGCAGCCCTCAGGCCTGAGCAGAGGTGGGTGTCAGTTGACGTCTTCTTGTTAAAGCTGAGGAAGTTTAAAGACTCAGGCCCCTACGGGGGCATCTTCCCAAGGGTGTCTTGAGCCAAATGTCATCTGGCCATCACACCTGCGACTGGGAAGTTTCTGGGCCTACCCTTATGTTTCAGACTCTGCCATTCGGCAAAGAGGGGGCTTGAAGGTAAGTTTGGTAAGAAAAGAGATGACGTTTCAATTTTTTGCACATGAGTGTGGTTATAATTTTGTTGCTGTGACACTCAGCATAGTGCCTGGGATACAAGAAATATCCAATAAGTGGTAGCTATTCATTTATCAACTTAAATTTGTGTTGGTCATCGATGGGGTGGCAGTGGGCCCTGGGTATATATATTTGTGAACAGAACAGGCATGATCATTGCCCTTGTGGGATTTTAGGGTCTATTGGAGAGATAGGGAATTTAAAAGGAATTAAACCTACCGGCTGACACATTGCATCTTGAATGAGAAAGGATCGGAGAGAGTGGCAGGGTGTGCCAAGGCCCTGAGGCAGGAGTGCATTTGGCACTTTGAAGAGGGGTCAGGAGACTGTGGTCTCTGGAGCATCGCTGACAAGGGAGGTAGGAGCACAATATGAAGCCAGAGGGCTAGGCAGGCGATTGTCTTGGGCTTCGTACAGGACGGTGGTGGGCCAATATACCCCCCTCCCTCGTCTTTGACTCAGGATGAGGCCAGATGATTTGTTTTGGCCCGTGGATATGGGCAGAAGTGACAGTACTAGTCCCAAACCTAGATCATAAGACACTTCACTTGATTTTGTTCACTCTCTGGTACTTCAACCATTGCTATGGAAAGAACCTCCCCTGGGCAGGTGCTGCCCTGTAAACCTGAGCCCTGGAATGAATACGTGAGAAGCAGCGCTGCCCTAGCCAAGCCCACCGGGGCTCCACCTGGGAGCAGAGACACCTGGTCCAGCCCTGCCTATGTTCCATGGTCCATAGCTGGCCTACACATCCATGAGAATGATTTACTCCATGAGACTCTTTGACTTCGGGATCATTTGTGATGTAGCATTTAAAAAAAAGATTTTATTTATTTATTTGAGAGAGAGAGAGAGGGAAAGAGAGCGTGGGGGGAGGAGCAGAGGGAGAAGGACTCTGTGCTGAGCTCAGGGCCCGACGCGGGGCTCGATTCCAGGACCTGGAGATCACAACTGAGTCGAAATCAAGAGTTGGACGCTTAACCGACTGAGACGCCCAGGCGCTCCTATTATATAGCATTTTTGTGGCAATAACGAAAACAGCCTCGCAGCTAGTAAATGGTGGAGCTGGGATTTGAGTCAACTTCCAGGCTTGGTTCTTAGTCATCTCTTTCAAGAGTAGATGATTTCGTTTAAAATAGTCAATTTCTTTTTTTTTCTTAAGTTTTAATTTTTAAAAAATTTTATTATGTTAATCACCATATCACCATACATCATTAGTTTTTGATGTAGTGATCCATGATTCATTGTTTGTATATAACACCCAGTGCTCCATCCAATACGTGCCCTCTTTAATACCCCTCACCAGGCTAACCTATCCCCCCACCCCCCTCCCCTCTAGAACTCTCAGTTTCTCAGAGTCCATAGTCTCTCATGGCAATTCCAGTTAGTTAACATACAGTGTTATGTTAGTTTCAAGTGTACAATATAGTAATCCATACATCACCCTTGCTCATCACAAGTGCACTCCTTAGTACCCATCACCTTAAAATATCCTTTTTTTTTTAGATTTTATTTATTTATTTGACAGAGAGAGAGACAGCGAGAGAGTGAACACAAGCAGGGGGAGCGGGAAAGGGAGAATCAGGCTTCCCGCTGAGCAGGGAGCCCAATGTGGGGCTCGATCCCAGGACCCTGGGATCATGACCTGAGCCGAAGGCAGATGCTTAATGACTGAGCCACCCAGGAGCCCAAAATGGTCCATTTCTTAACCAGGCATTTATAAACAGAACCCGGAGGTATCTATCACACCAGAGTAAACAGTCAGGATTTGCCTACAGCTCTATTCTAGAGGCCTTCACTAAAGATTATGATAGAGTCAGCCCTCCTAGGCTTTCTGCTTGGAGACAACACTGGGTGGGGCAATGCATCCATAGTCTTCATGCCTTGGTTCAGTCCAAAGTTGTCCCAAAACGTTTCTGCATACCCTGTTGGTCTAGGTGAGCAGGAGGATGCAAGAAACCTTCATATTCTGTCCCCGACTTTTTAAAAAACCAGGCTAAAATGCAAAAATGGTCC